ACTCCGGCTCTGGCGATGTTCTGTTCTGTCGTTCGGAATACTCTAGAGACTTGCTGGGCACTCGAAATTCCCTATGTTTGAGAGGGGATTATACCCTTTAGTCTATAGCTTTGGGTTATATTATGAAATTAGTATTGAGGTTTTTTTAAATTTATTTTAAAGTTTGAAAAAGAAAAAAAAAGAATTTAAAGATGAATTGTTTTAGTAATTTTAAAACTTTTTTAATCAACATTTATTTTATTTTTTTTTTTTTTTTTATATAACCTAAATTTAAAATTCAATATTTTAATATAGATTACAACTATTCATTTTTTCTAGATACTTAGATATTTAGTTTTTACCTATTAAATTAGAGGAAGTATGTATAAGAGACTCTTTAATTAAATAAGAGAGTATAAATAATATCAAAACTCATTTAAATTGCTCATAAAATATTTAAAAATATGAATTCTTTTTATTTAATTTTTTTTTTTATTTTTTATTTTTTTTTTTTTGTCATGTTAAAGCTGGTATACAATACTAAAATTAATTCAATGAAAATGGCACTGGAAACTGAAGTCCTTCTGCCAACTATTTAATTTTCTTTAATAAATGTAGCCTTACTTCAAAACAAAATCTGCTAAAACAGTTCTGTTTCAGATACATCTTTAGAGATACCGGTATATTATATTCCTCATTAAATATATTTTCCTAAATGATCCCCCATCGATCAGTTGGCAAGTGCATTCCCATTTCGGCTTGATTGCGGCCATCTGAAATTCTCGTTCTTGGCCAGGTCTGGTGCTTGGTGCCTGGTGACGGCTGATGTTGCCGCTGCCCCTGGTTGCAGTTGCAAGAGTCGCCATCGCCATCGCAGCCGCTTTTATTCAGCCTTTTTGTTGTTGGTGCTGCCGCTGGTTCGTTGGTTCGTTCATTTGCTGGCTCTATACATATTTTTTTCCTTTATTTTTTCTTCTTATTTTCCATCAGCGTCGCCGTCTTGCCTGTGGTACGGAGCCAGGCCAGCCAAGCCATCCAAGCCAGCCAAGCCAAGCCAAGCCAAACCGAACCGAGCCAGGCCAACCAACGCCATCGCCATCGCATGCTTCACCTTCGCCCCACCGCACACAGATACACACGCACACACCGGCACTTTGTGTGGCGGCTGCCTTCCCATTCAGCCCACCAAGGCCCCTCACCCCTCCCACTTTGCTGCTGGAGTTTCTTGTTTTCTTTCGACGTTTTTCCCCCAAGCCCCCGTCCACAGCCACTTGGCCAAGCAAGCAACGAACCAACCAACCAACCAGCCCAGCCACCATCAGCAACCTTCTGCCCCATCCAAGCCCCAATCCCCCAGTCCCCCATCTGCACCATCCACCATCCATTCTCCATACCCATTCCCCATTCCCACAGCCCACTGCTTTGCCTTGTCGTAATTTTACTTGGATTTTTTCCCCTCTTTTTCTTTTCCTTTCAGCGCGCTGCTTTCTGCGCTGCCTGCGATTCGGTTTCGAAATAAACTTTAATGCGAGCCATTCGTTCGGTTTTGGGGTCTCAGTTTCTGCTGCTCTGTTAAATTTTCTGGTTAAATTTTGTGCGCAGTCAGCTCGCAATGCAGTTCGAGGCGGTGACTCGATTGGGGCTGCTCGCGGGGTTGCTTTGGGTTCGGGTTTTAGGTTTAACTTAAGGTTTAAGGCTAGCTAAAATTGCTTAACTTTCTGAGATTGGTTGGTTAACAAATCTAGGGGTTAAGTGCTGAGATGATTCGAACTAATATTTTTGCATTTTGTGGGTAGGATTATGAAAAGAATTCTTAAATTGAATAGATATTCATATTCTGCTTGAAAACTTTAAATTGGAATTTTATTAATGTTGAAAATCTTGTTATTCAAAATTCCTAAATATTATTGGAATAAAAAATATTAAAATTTATAATCAACGATTTTCATGAATGCAGAAAATCTTATTGTTAAAAATATTCTAATATTCTAAATATCATTGGAATCAAAAATTATCCCTCTTTAAGGACAGAACCCTAACTACTTTAATCCTTTCTACCCAACTAAGCTCGACTCCTTTTGCGCAGTCTCGCCACTGAGGCAGCAACATCGCCGGTGACAGCGGCAACATTGCAAGTTGCCGGAATGCTGCTGCCGTTTATAGTTTCACTATAAGGCGCACATATGAATTTTGCCATCGCTTGCTTTTTGGCACGCAAACGCACACAGCACAGCACAGCAAAGCACAGCGAAAGAGCCAAACAGCCAACCCAGTCAGCCATCTAGCGAACGTCCTCGACAAGCCCAGTCAGCCAGGCCAACGGCAGCGGCAACATCATCAGCAGCAACAACAGCAACCACTTCAGTTCCGCCGACCCGCCAATACCCCCTATATCATACAATCTGAAAATATAGAAAAAGCAGCGACATTTGGGACGTTCGCTCGCTCGTTCGTTCGTTCGGTCGCCTGGTACGTTTACGTTTGCGTTCCGTCGTTCGCTTTTTGTTGGTATCGCTCTGAGCCGGAGCCCCAAACACCAGATACAGATACGAGGCGCACACACTCGGCTACAGCTACAGATACAGATACATTTACGGTGCCAGGCCAGCAACAGCAACAGCAACAACAGCAACCTTCCTATATGAGTGCGCCCCGTGTACATATACGAATATATTTTTATATAGAGTCGCAGCAACACGCGCACTGGATTCGAGAGACGGACACAATGCTCTACGGCTACGACTGCAGATATAGATACGGACGGAGGGCTAGAATATAAATGTGGGGTTGGATCTCGTTCTTGTTGGGGGGAAAATGGTTTTCGGGTGTTCGGGGATTTTTAAGAACTAGATCTGGGATTTCAAAAGCGCGGTTTTTGAATGATATTTGAAGCACTATGGTCTTTTCTTTCCTACGATTATGAAAAATTGGAAATAAACTTGTGAAACGGTTTATATTTAGGTAATATGTGAAGTATCAATAACAGTTTCTTGATCATTCATATTTTTGAAAATGTATTGTTTTTTTAATAAATTGGAACATTAGAATACTATCTTAAATGTAACATATTCGGATTTAGACCAAAAAAAAATTATAGACTACCAACTAAAAATATAAATGATTCACAGAAAGAATATCATACTCTTTTGAGTGGGAATAATAACTCTAAATAATTTTGCAAAAAGTATTTATCCCGACTTTCTAAAGTAAAAAACAAATGTCTTCCAAATTAATTGATAATGAAATTCCCAATTAATTAACATTAAAAGACTCTTAAAAAAAAAAAAACATTAAAGCCTTTTTAGAAAAATTCAAGAACTAAGACGTCATAATTAGCTTTAACCCTTCTTCTGTGGTATTCTTAAACCTTCCTGGAAATAAAGAAATTCTCTAGTAATATACGGTGATATGGTTAATATCGGAACTGGCTAAGCCGGCCGCATTATAACCGCAGCGCTTTATCAGCTACACTGAATTTCTCGAGTGACGCAGATGGCGAGCAGTTCCGAGACCGGCGATATGATGTTCTGTTCTGTTCTGTTCTTGGGGCAGCGACATCGATGTGGACTGTCGTCATCGCCTGAGCTGAATTTGAATGCAAAGTCGAGAGTTGCAGAGAGCTCTTGTTGCTGCTGTTGCAGTTGCAATTGCTGTTGCTGTTGATGTTGCAGCAGCATCGGCTCAAGAGCAATGCGAATATAAAAATGGTGATTCTGTTCTTCCGCTCCGTTTCGGGGGACGCCTCTCGGGTGTCCAGGTTTTTATTAGCACCCGACTAACGGACACTTGTCCGCTCGCTCGCTCTTCCTCTTTGCTCCTTCGGCAACTCAAACAAAGCCGCCTGCCGCCGGTAACTAATTTTCGAAAAAAAGCCAAGATGATGATGACTACTCGTGGCTCTGGCAACTTCGCTTGAGTACGAAGCGGGTTTAAGTCGTCGCACTTGCATCCTGTTCGAGGCTGTAAAATGTTAAATCTTCGTGCATTCTATTAGCTCTATTAAGTGAATTTTTATATGCCTGATTTGCATTGCGAGTGAATTAAATTTTAATTTTCTTCATTATTTTTTGGTTAATGGTATTTGATTATTTTACGACACTTACACTTAAGTTGATTTTTAACCTGAACTATAGTTGAAGTACATGAACTTTTTAAAGGTACTTTATTTATTTTTTTTAGATGTTGTTATTAAACGTAAGATTTTTTTAAGTTTCTATCCAGATTTTCTTTGAGAAAGTGAAAAATTGTTTGACAATTTTTTATTAGGGCCGCAGTACATAATTGACATATTTATTTAATGGTATCTTTATACCCTTGTAGAGGGTATTATAATTTCAGTCAGATGTTTGCAACGCAGTGAAGGAGACGTTTCCGACCACATAAAGTATATATATTCTTGATCAGGACCAATAGCCGAGTCTATCTAGCCATGTCCGTCTGTCCGTCTGTCCGTCTGTCCGTTTCTATGCGAACTAGTCTCTCAGTTTTAAAGCTATCGCGATGAAACTTTCCCGAATGTCTTCTTTCTATTGCAGGTAGTACATATGTCGGAGCCAGCCGGATCGGACCACTATATCTTAAGGCTCCCAAACAAATATAAGAAAATTCATTGTAACTTTGTAGGAAGTAGGCGTTTTGATTCTTGACTACTTAAAAACAAAATTGAAATAAATCGAAACGCTGAATCTGGAATCCCTGGAACTGCACCGAGTGAGTATTCTTTTATCTACAAGGGTATATAAGCTTCGGCTGGCCGAAGGTAGCTTCCTTTCTTGTTTATTTTCTGAAATCTCAAAAAAGTTTAAACTAAATTTGGGGTTTAATATTCAATCTTAAGTTACCACAATGGCGCCCCCATAAGCATTACATTCAGATGCAGAACTATGAGACGCCACATGTTGGCTGAAATTGGTAACTATAAAACAGGGAAGGTTTCCACAAACATCCACGAGAGGGCTCTGCTGGCCACGAACAGCTGACTTCAGGCGCTTACCAACACTTGCTCCATACTCGATATATTCGATATAGCGATAACATTGTTAACCCAGCTCTATTTGTAATATAATTTTTGATCAGCCAACAAAACTTTTGTTAAATAATGATGCAACACACAAAGCGCATGGTAAGTAAACTTAATAAACTGAGTGGAATGCAAAGTTACATAATCCTTGGTGCTTTTTAGCTGACTCCTCTGATAAGCGGACTGCGCAATTTACCGGCACGCGGTGCAACAACTACGACGGCAGCTGCGCCCGCCAAAATTGAAAAAAGTAAGTGATTCTAGGATTCGAATTATGAAATTGAACTCATGGTTGGCTTTCTTAATGCAGCCGTCAACACGGTTACCATTTTGGGAAGAGTTGGAGCCGATCCCCAGCTGCGGGGATCCCAGGAGCACCCGGTGGTCACCTTTTCCGTCGCCACACACACAAACTACAAGTGAGTACGATTACCTATGTGTGTGTGTGTGTTTCGGGGCACAGCATGTGTTCGCAATTGAACTTGAATTTGAATCTCCAAGGAGGCCAGACAGTAGCGGTCATAAATATAGGAACATTACATTATTTCTTTATCTTAATTATTACAAATTTCCAATCTCTGTTTAAAAGGTTTATTTACAAGTTTTACAGAAATCTCCACCAATCAAAAAACCAAAAATTTTAGTTTTTGTGTCCCAGAAACCATTCCAACTCTACTAGATATTTTAAAACCATCTTTTGACAATCTTTTTCTAAAATCAGAGAAAATTTATTCCGTAGCACTTTAAAAACTCTACAGATTTGGTCACACCGGTCAGTTTTCAATTGTTAGAGGTTTTGAAATAGTCTATAATAATTTGAATATCCTATATTTTATTTATAACCACTTTTAAATATTCTTATAATGATTTTTAAAGCTTATATAGCACGTTAAACCTTTCCGAAAATTTAAAGCAAACTCGGTTTTTTTAGTCACAGAAAACCCTTTAAATTAATTAAAATAAGTGAATTTTTAGATGCTACTACACAGACATTATTACTAATTACTTTTACAAAAATTCCCGCACAGATACGAGAACGGCGACTGGGCCCAGCGCACCGACTGGCATCGAGTGGTGGTCTTCAAGCCCAATCTGCGCGACACCGTGCTGGAGTACCTGAAGAAGGGACAGCGCACCATGGTGCAGGGCAAGATTACCTACGGAGAGATCACCGACCTGCAGGGCAACCAGAAGACCAGCACCAGCATCATTGCCGACGATGTGCTCTTCTTCCGCGATGCCAATAACTAGGATTTAAGCCCAAAAGACCAAACCTAATCTTAAGCACAAAGTTTAACTTGCAGCATTGTAAGCATTTATACTATACGTATGGATATATTATGTTATCAAATCTTGGATTACATGCGTAGTTGTATTTCACATGGGCTTTACCTCGACGTTATTTTTGCAGGAGCACTGTGGAAGGTATTTGCTAGCTTCCTGTTTTCCTTTTAGCACTTCGTACTCTCGCTGAACTTTCGTGACTTCGCTCTGCAACTTTTGGATTTCTTTTTCCAAAGACAACAGGATATTATTGTGGTAATCCATGATCTTGGTAATCTGTGGTTGTATTTATTTAAATCTTTATAAAACGTTTAAATTACTGTTTATTACCACATTTTTTGGAGGTAGTTTTTCGGACGCCTCTTTGTTGTACATCTCGATCTCCTCCCTTAAGGTGTTGCACTGGGCGGCTGTACTTTCCGCAGACAGAAGTAAACTCAGCAAATCCTGGTAGGTGAAGCGGGCCAAGGGATATGTTCGACAAGCCGTGCTATCAGATCTCGGACAAGCCTGCTCCAGTCGAGTAACAGCCTTCTCTGCCTCGATCAAATTAAACTCGTTGTCATTCAGCTCCATTTCTACCTTAAGCAAACAGCAATTTATTGAGCCCAGCAATTGGTCCATTGAGAATACCTGTGCTGGTTTAAAATATATGATATCTATATTTATTTATATCCGGAATACCTTACATTTTTGGCATTGTCCAAAACCTTTTGCTCCTGGTCCTTGATGAACTTCATCTGGTTGTTAAAAGACGTCTCCATCTCAAGGGTGTCGCGCATTAAAAGATCCGATAGCATATCCAAGTACAGGAATGTCGTCGGATCTGAAGAGTTTGACTCACTCATAATTTGAAAGATTGTGTATTTTGATTCTGTATTTCTGTAACTAAGTTATTCTTAGAATTTGGTTTGAAAATTTATGGGATAAATCATAGCTTGCTTTGCTTGGGATTCAATTAAAAAAAAAAAAAAAACTTAACAATTAAAAAAAAAAAAATTTTTTTTTTTAACTTTTTTAAAAATTTTTTATTTTTATAAAGGATTCCGAACTTGGACGTTTACCAATCAGGAATGGTTCGACTTTAAAGCGCTTACCATCCACCATTTATATATCTCTTTAGCTACCAACATTGGAGACCCACTCAAGACCCGCGATCCACAAGCGCTCTCCACATGTGAGCTCGTGGAGCGACCTTATCGCTGTAGACCACCATGAGTGTGTAGAGTGTGTTATTCAGCCCGAGCTCGGTGGCCTGAGAGACACAGTTCGCAGTTAGTATTTGCCAGTTCAAATGCTGCCGGCGGTCGGAAGAGTTGATAGCTGATCGAGTGCTCCGTCCGCGGTTCTTTTTCCATTCCTTCGAGCACGTTGTTTGTCCCGGATTCCAATCCATCTTCGCGACCCGCAACTATCAGTAGTTTACTGGCTCCCCCTTTGCGGAAGATGATGATTTGCTGAAAGACAACAACACCGCAATAACTATCATATATCATCCTCGAATAAAGTTGGCAGTAAAGAGGCAAATATGGCTGTGGATTATGTGCTGGAGGACCTGATGGGAAAACTAGGTGAGTGGATTGCTTTTTGGAGCGAAGACTTTTGAAAGGTCAGCTGTTGCGTTGCCAGGCGTCTCCATCCCTCCCCTGCTGATAAGAACCCAGTGTTAAAGCTTATCATTTTGAGAGGTCTTATCAGTGATGCAAGCTGCCATGGATAATATTTGATTTCATGCCCGCCAAGTCGGTTTAACGCCGACGTTGTGTTCTGCATTTAAATTTCATAATTAATTTATTTCGGTTTTTCGCTTTTAATCTCCGCCTAATCTATCCGGCTGGCTACCGTTCGTCAAGTGCTCAAAAGAAGCCGCCTCTAATACTGTTTTAATTACACCTATTTTTACTTTTTCATTTCGCACTATTTCTAATTTAATAAATCCTCAAGGCCGCTCAAAAGTGACAGACATCTATGACAGCTTGATAGAGACTCCGACGACCTGTTGATCTTCTATAGATTCCATTTATATAGTGTTCTATCGACACATGTTCGTGTGGGCCAAGTTCTGAGTTTGAGCCTTCTTGGCTTTAGCACAGTGACGCTAAAACGAGTGCGGCGCCTGAAGAGCAAACAAAATTGGGATGGAAAAGGGGCAGTGACGGCTGAGCTTTCGTCACAAGACTCTGAAGTAGGCTCATCATAAAAAGATCTTGGGATCTACGGATCTCTGGGCTATATTCTGCTAATTTATTGTACACTCTAATTGTGCGGTTTATACATTGCAGTTAGCTTGTGGGAGCTGGAAAAATAAGCCTGTTTATCTGCTCTATGCAAAGCAGTTAATAATAATTGTGGGAATACAGTAAAAGCTCGACGGGGCGGAACTAAGCTATAAATCATATGTTTATAGCTCAAAATATACTCAAATGTACAGAAAATTTCTTTAATTAAAATCATATCTATTTGTTATAGAACACCTACAGCTTTTGCAATAATTTTCATAGGAAAACCATTCAAAACTGGTTTTCTACTTAGCAGTCGAGTAACCGCAGCCTATAAGAAAGTGAGAGGAGATGGAGAGAGGGAGTAATAAACGCATTAGCGACTTTTTCTTAATCGTAATATGTTTATTCATTCGCATACGATTGTATCTGTCAAATGCAAAAAAATAAAAAACTCAAACTGGTTTGTTCAGATTCAACTGTATCGCAAATGCGCTCAGCCCTCAAAATTCACATATCGCTCTTTTTATGTGTATTTATTTTGTTGAAGGCCTCTTTGGTGGGCAGGCAGCTCTAATTACTTCGAATTTGGAGGCGTGTTACATTGCTGAATTCGTGAGTTTTTGGTATGGTAAGGTTACCATAAAACCAGAAACTTGCAATGACTTTGAGAGTGCTTCCACATGTGCTGTGTGTGAAGCTCAGAACAAAACTGAAACGACCTTCAGTTGTTTGTAACTGAGGGAAGTGAAAATGTTAAAAAAATATTGCGAAAAAGAACAAAACGAAACCGTAAAATAGTGATTTAAAACCCTGATCTACCTCAATCCAAACCAAACAAGATTTTTTAAACCAAAATAAAAATAGCTTTCAATAAAGTATCCACGAATAATGAGATATGTAAAAAATACAGTTTAATTTTTTAAATAATAATAATCCATATTATTACTATAAATTAGACTGTACTATCACAGTTTTGTAATATTCCATGGCCTTATCAATTTCCTTTATCACCTATATTGTTCCCAGAGTAAACACCTCTCTGTAAACTTGCCCTATATTAATTTTAGTGGGCAATCTGTAGTTTTCGTACATCAATTATAACTGACTATTAAGAGAAGTACAAACATTGAATGGGCCAAAAACAAATGTCATATTCAAGGGCCCCATGGCAACAATTATAAGGCCAGCTATACTGATCGGATGCAATAAATCCCAAACAACAATAGCCCTGATATATGATATAGCATTTAGTTTTAGTGGCCCCTGATAATCCGCTATGATTTCCACATGTGAATTTACTATTCCAAGTTTAGTTATCATGATTTCGCTTTATCGATTGCCAAGATTGTGGGCAATTATACGCTGATTATGTCTATTGGGGGCGTAATTGAATTTAATTAAGGATTGTGTCAAATTATAAAAATTTAGATTAATTAAGTCATGCTCTTTGGCTTCGATGACATAATTTTACACTCCACGCAATCATTTTAATTACAAAAAATTTAAATTCTCAGACGATTCACTCACGAGTTGTCGATCCTAACGTAACCGGGGTGAACGTAACTTTCTATATCGTTTAAACGATCAATAAACGTAACCCACAAATCAATTGAAACGGTCGATTGAACATTGGACCGCTCAAGTGTCAAATTCTCGTATCTAGGCTACATACTGTCCAAGTCGATAGAAATTTACACAGCCCCGATGCCCTCTTTCAACGCGATCGCCAAGTCATAATCGATTCAATGCATTCTCCCAAGACATCCGAGTCGAGTCTCCAATAGACTAAACCAAACCAAACTGTGGGCAAATATTTGACGGGCCATACGAATGCGCTTCAATTGAAATCGAATTGAATAAATTCCACTTGATTTAATTGCAAAGCCTTTGGTGTGACGACAATGCCACCGAAACCCATAAAAAGATCTCATCTGCATAAAAGTCGGGTGTTTCTTTAGGTTCTTTTATCGCTGATACGTGGGGTTTTGGCTAATGATTTCATAAGAAATTTGAAATAAATCACTTTACTTATAAGATCTATATCTTTAGTATACAGTGACATTCTGTACAAAAAATTAATTTACTAGTAACTGTATATTTCCAAATAAAAAGTAAAATAAATAAATTTAAAACAAAATATAGAAATACAAAAAATAACCTTTAAATTTTTATATTTGCTTAAATTGTTTAAAAATTGGATTGGTTTGAGTAACGATAATGATAGTTCTGTTTGTTAGGTATTATAAAGTCTGTGATCCATTCAACAGATAATAGCTATTGGTTATTTAGCTGGAAAGTTGACTAGAACAATTTCCTATATATATTTCTGACCTTTCCCAACCGGATTCTAATTGAGCTTCTTTCTATTTGCAGGGGAATTTGGAAAGTACCAGTTCCTTCAGTTCTTCCTGCAGGTGCTTTCCGGCCTCACCGCTGGCATGCACATGCTTTCGCTGGTCACCGTGGCCGCCGTTCCCGAACATCGGTGCTTCATCGAGGGCCTGGACAACAGCACGTTGTCGGTGACGCCGTGGAACTCGAGCGCCATCCTGGCCGCCATCCCACTGAAGGCCAATGGCGAACTGGAATCCTGCCTCATGTTCGATCCCTCTAATTTGGGATCCAATGCCACTGTTAAGTGCACAAGTTACGTATACGACACGACGTACTACAAGACCTCGCGCACCATTGACTGGAACTTCGTTTGCGAACGCCGTTGGATGGGTTCCATTGTGCAGACTGTTTTTATGCTGGGAGTGTTCACTGGTGCCGTCACACTGGGCGGACTCGCCGATAAAGTGGGCCGAAAGACCGTGTTCTGCTGGTCAGCTTTATTCCAACTGATCATCGGCGTGGGCGTGGCCTTCATTCCCGAGTACTTCTCATTCATGGTGGCCCGCTACCTGCTGGGCATTGTGGGATCTGCGGGCGCCTACATCTGCGGCTTTGTGCTGACCATGGAGCTGGTGGGTCCCAGCAAGCGTACTGTGTGCGGCATTACCTTCCAGGTGAGGGAGTTATCCAGAGATCTTATCATCTATCATTTTTCACATTTTTCAAAATATGTTCCTTTATCCCTTCACTAGTGTGAAAAGTGAAAGGAGATGTGGAATTCAAAATAATGCAACAAAAACTTGTGATGAAAACAATTGTTTTTTACTTTTATGTGTTTTTTGTCGTATTTCTGTTAAATTTTATGGGTTTTTTGTCTTATTTCTGTTAAAACAGTTCTCCCATCTAAAAGAATTAGAATTAGAATTTGGGTAGATTTCATAACAATTAATTTTTGGCTTATTGTTGAATTTTTTATTAGGGGTTACAACAGAATTTTTTTGAAAAAATGGACAAAAATATAGTTTATAGATTTAAATGCTAGTCGAAAAGGGATTTTAATTACGATCTTAACTCGGTATAACATTCCATATTTCGACAAATTGTTCCATTGTTAGGAACAAAATACTGATTTATTTTCGTTGAAAATAGGGTTAAACTGAAAAATTAAAGAATGTGGTATTTAAAACGTATGCAATATAAACTGGACTCTGGATCCCTCAGTACGAGATTATATTCCAAAATCCTCTTTAAATATCTTAAGCTTTGATTGCAATTGCTATAATCACCAAGGCACCTTGAATCTATCAAATCAGCGGCATCTCATTATAAAGATCTCTTACTTGGCATTTAATCTCTATTCTCAATTTGTATCCATTCTAATAATCTCCCATCACTTTCAGGCTGTCTTCGCTGGTGGCATCATGTTGGTTGCGGGATGGGGAGCACTGATCCACGACCACCAGTGGCTGCAGGTGGTCTATGGACTGCACGGCTGCCTGTTCCTGGGCCACTGGTGGTGGCTCGATGAATCTCCGCGCTGGCTGTGGATGCAGGGTCGGGCCGCCGAGGCCGTGGATATTGTGGCCAAGGGGCTGAGGATAAATGGATCTGGCATACCGGTGGACAAGGAGTACTATGTCCAGAAGGCCAAGCAGCAGGCGGCTGCGGAGGAGAAGACCAGTGCTGGATTAAGTGACCTCTTCCGGACGCCCAATCTGCGGATGAAGACGCTGAATGTGTGCCTCTGCTGGTTCGCCAATTCCCTCGTTTACTACGGACTTTCGCTGAGTGCCGGCAAGCTGTATGGCAATCCCTACCTGATCCTGTTCATCATGGGCCTGGTGGAGTTCCCTAGCTACATAACCATTGTGTTTGTCCTGGATCGCCTGGGTCGTCGATCGATCACCTCCACTTTGATGTTGGGTGGCGGTCTGTGTTGCATCGTGGCCGCCTACATTGATCAGAGCAGCTCGACGGCAGTGGTGTTTGCAGGAAAGCTCCTGATCGCCGGATCCTTTGCCGTGATCTACAATTACTCCGCGGAACTGTTTCCCACTGTGGTGCGAAACTCGGCCATGGGATTGGGCTCCATGTGCGCCCGTCTATCTGGCGCCCTTACCCCACTCATCACATTGCTGGACTCGTTTGATCCCAAGATCCCAGCCGTGCTGTTTGGCGTGGTGGCCCTGCTTTCCGGTTTCTGGGTGATGTTCCTGCCGGAGACCATGAACCAGCCCATGCCCGAGTCCATTGAGGATGGCGAGAACTTCGGAAAGGGCGATACTTGGTTCAGCCAGTGCGCTGGTCGCAAAAAGCGACAGAATAGCGTATATCCCGATTATCCCGAGCAGATGGTGCCGCTCAAGAACATCGAGAGCAAGTGAAAAGCCAAGCCAAAGTCCCACAACCAGTTTAATGTCCTTGTTACCCTGTTTTTCTTGTTAAGAATTCTACTCTTCTGTTTAGTAGTATGTTTTAAGAGTTGCTATCCATTCCAAGAGAATAAAATGATGCTGCAGATTGGGTAAAACTATGGTTTTACCAATTTCTGTGGGTCCTTAAGTTGTTTGTAAATTATATTTTATTTTTTTGGGGACTGTTAGGACTTATCAAATATTTAAGCGTTAAAGTTCTTGATAAGCAATCCATGAAATTATAAATATTTGCATACTTTTAGGCCACACATAACGTATACGTTATGCGTATACGTAACGTAGCTTTTAAAATATGTTTTTGGAATATCAAGTTGCAGTTTCATTTCATGGCAAAACCAATGCACCTCCACAACACACAAAATGTTTTTCCAAACTTTCGCCAATTAAAGTTTATTCTCCGCCGCTCACAGCAAATACGAGTTCGCCTGGCCTTGCAAAGTTTTCAGTAATTTCCACTCAATTGCACTATCGAATTGCCAATTGTCGACAGGGATTTCCAATGTCAAATCCATAACCCAAAGCTGCCCCACACACCATCGCCCGTCAATTAAAGTTGGTTCAAAGAGTTTTGTTTAGGTTTTTCTGTTTTTGTTTCGTTTTTGGTATTTCTTCTTGTTTTTTGTTTTGTTTGGTACATTTGAGAACATTCATTTCGAATTTGAATATATTTTCAATTTAAATTTTAACTACACGTAGGCATATAGATTTATATACGGTATGCATGGCGATATCTGATGCGATATCGTTACACCATTTCGCTGGCTTAGAATTACATTAACATTTACATAGATATAGTAGCTTTATATCTGGGATTTCTTATTTCGGTTTTCGGATCGCGGTTCTCGGTAGCGCCGTCAAAGGTACACAGAGATAGAGATATCGTTAGCAGGTAGTCGCGATGGCCTAACATCAATATTCTTATTCTTACACATAGACATACACTCAAATCGAGAGATAAACACATCTAGATGCGGTTGCTAGCCAAAGAACACTGGTATCAGAAGCCAATTTCGGGTAAATGCTACACTTGAAATGAGGAGGGGTGGGAAAGTAATGGGTAATGGGGGTTCGAGTGCCTAGTAATACAAACATACGAACGTAGCTAAATATATGTATGTGTAAATTAATCACAATTGAATCGGAAAATATTTACAAAAAATACTCAATCCAAGCCCCAACCATCTTCTGTTCGTTTTGGATTTACAACTCAAGTTTTCAGTTTCAGCTTCTCAGCATCGTCTTCGTCGCTGCCTAATGATTATGCTCGTTCAGGGCACTTGGTCTGGACAATGGGCGCCTTGACCTGGATGCCTCCAGATCCAGTCTCCGCCAGCATGGCCGTGTGCACAATTATGGCCGGCTGGTCCTCGCTCTGTGGATGCAGCTCGTGCGACTCGCCGGGCGTGAGACTGGCCAGGGCGGCCAATAAGTCATGGTTGACCAGCGGCTCGCCCTCCTCGCGCGGCTCCCAGCCGGCTGGCGGCGAGGCGGGCGGCGAGATGAGGAACTGTTTGACCGGCGCCGGCGGCTGCAGGTTCTTGTTGCTCACCGGTGTCACCGGCTGGGCAAAGTAGCAGGTGATCACCGTGCGCGGGTTGAACTCGTACTGGTGCAGCTTGATCCGCGCATTGGCCGCCGCAATGGCGTTGTCATAGTTCACCCGCAGGCGGCGGAAGCTGCGCAGCCATTGGAACGTGGCCGTTTCGCTGAACGTCCGGAATAGCTCCTCCATGGCGTGCTTCAGTTCCGGATTGGCAAACACCTCCGAATGGATGTTGGTCACGATTATCGAGGTGGGTAGGTCGTCGAACGAGTCCGCGTCCACCTCCGGCTCTGTGTCGCTGTCCACGTCGCCCTCTTTAGGTAGCGTTGGATGCTGATTGGGTAGCCCGTCGGCGGCGTTGATGAAGATGTCCTGGTCCGGCGATAGCTTGTCTATGCTCCCACCGCCGCTGCTATTCTGCGTCGACTTCAGTTTGTTCGAGCTCTTGCTCTTGCTGTTGTTGTTGTTGTGATTACCACGCGGAGTGGCTTCATTGGTCTCATCAGGAGGAGCTCCTCCAGCGGAGGGAGTGGCGTCGGGTGTGGCCGGATCAGGTGCATCGGCGGACGCATTGTTGTTGGACTTGGCCGCATCGGACATGGCTGGCTGAAAAACATCAGGTAAAGCTATTTTAAAACATTTCGTTAAGTGAAAAGTTAAATAGAAATAAAAACGTATTTCCATAAGCTCATTAAAAGCAATTAGCATAGTTTTAAGTGCACATTTTCCTCTCTGTGGGAAGTCGACGGCTGCTTAAAAGTGCTATTTTTGGAGCCAAAAGCATTACTGCCTTATTTATACACATACGGTTTTTAATTATAGCCCTGAAGGCAAGGATTTTCCAGTAATTAGATTCAACAAGTCGGTGACATTTTCCATAAATAGAACTGTCAGTCGGCTAGCCTTCACCTCCAAACATTTCTAAAAAATTGGTAAACAGCGTTTGCAAATTAATTCCACACAAAGGGTGCTACTACTTTGTTTACGTAATACACTTGTAACAAATTTCAAGCGCCACGCTACGACAATAAAAATTGGTTTGCTCCTTCCTTCCATGCAAACCAATTACGAGACCAAAAAAACTACAGACGTGTCTGAGTTTCGGGAAGGAGTGGGGAGAATATAAGGAAGGCCAGGACTTAAGTATCGACACGTGAAGCTAATCAATAGGTCTACCGAGCGGTTGGAGTGCCCGAGGGGAATCGAGATGGTGACGCACTGTTGATTCACAACTGCTCTTGATTTTATTGTTATGCCTTAACAAACTTGGAGCGAAGGGAAGGCGCCGCCAGACGGGTGATTAATAGTGGCGAATTTTTTGTGAATGAATGAATGAATGGGTGAGGAACTGGCGCCGCTGGTTGCTGGCGTCAGAACAAGATTGGTGACGTGTGTCTGCTTTCGCACCTGTGACCGCCACGAAACCCCAAACCCTTAAACCTTAAACCCCGTGCTTTCATTATAATAATAACTGCCAGTCGTCGGTCCCCCATTTGTATGCTATAAAAATAGCATTTCTCTTAGTGTTTTATTGTGACCCATGAATCAGCAATATGCAGTGAGTTAATTATACGCTGTTTACCCCAAGGAGGCAGCTATTTTAGCCAAATGCAAATGGTTCTCTGTGCCACCAGCTTGGGTAAAGCAAAATTGGCTTAGTTTTGGGTGAGAAATTTGCAAAAGTTTTTACGATTTTGGGTTTGGTTTCGGGTGAGCTGAAAATGTTCGCTTTGTATTCCTTAATTAATACTTTGGGCATAAATTAAAACCCCGTTTTGCCAGAATTTTTTATGGATTTTAATTAGATTTGGGATTTAATTGATTTAGATATTAAAGAGATATTGCCATAACTAGGAATTAAATCCTTTTTTAAGAGCCTGTTAAGATCCTTATAATATTATTCTTACTAAGAAAACAATGTTAAATTAAATTTATCATGGAAATCCTAATTAAAATTACTTCCTAATCTCTGATGAGCAAAAAACACTTTTCTTAAGATCTTGATCTATTTTAAGCACGCAAATAAGCGGTGTTCATTGTGAAGTGGATTGCTTTTTAATGTAATTAAATTGCAACGCCCCCATATTTGTGATAAGCCATCATACTTATGCACTCCGAAAAATGAATAACCACTCGAAGGGATGAGGAGGCCAAGTGGTGGGTTTTAAAGCTCGCCAGACGCTACTCGGCGGCAACCCCTTTCCCCCAATTCTCCCAGCCGAAGGTTCTTTCACTTTCCCTTTTATGGCCACTTTTTTTTTGTTGACTTTCACCTCAACGCAGCCAGGCAGCAGAGGAACAAACAGCGTGGCTAACAATAAAAACAAAGGCCAAAAAAGGAACCCAACGACGAGTTGATCTATTTCCGGATGATTGATTTCCTTGAAAGGACACACCCACACAATTGTTACTTGTGCTTCCCAAGGAAGCGGGGATGTATGGAGGATATTTCTGTATCGGAAAGTAAGGGAAACTCGTTCATGACGTGTGTACTTTGTTTCGCTGAGCAGCTTGATCCCTATCGCAGGAACAGCACGAGGACGAGGAAACTGCAAGTCAGCATAAATGAGCTGCTGGCATGCAAATCGCTTGGCCCCGTTGTGACGTCATCGTTCCTGCACGCAATCCATAAAAAGCAAAGAAAGCGCACTTTAAACTAGACAAAAGTACCTCTTAGCCCCGCCCACTTTTCTGAAGGGGAGGGAGGCGGTACCGTGGTTTCGACATGATGATGAATTGCCTGCCGGTCGTTAGCCAGCGACCTTCACTCATTCATAATTGCTGTCATCATTATATCAAGTGGTCGCCGCCCCCCGGGAATCCTGATCTCCATCCATATATCCATTCATTCGCCAATCCATCCATCCTTTTGCTCATCCCGTCATAAGGGACTTTTGCTGATTTTTTTTTCTCTAAGTAGCCTGCACGTAAGACACGCAAAAGCTCTTTAAATCATCTGAGACGGCTTCATTGGGGCACTTAGAAAAACCAAAAACACAAAGGAATATAAACATATTGGTTTAAGCTAAGGATTAGTCTACAAGCAGCAAATTCTAATATCATGGAGATATTTTTAAAATATTTAAAAATTTCTTATAGATATTAAAGGCTGCAAAGACTACTATCATCATTTTCGGAAGTTTGACAACTATTTTGATTTAGTCCGCTTGTTAAATTTAAAGTAGGCTTTAAGCTCTCAGTTTCCCTTCCTTAAATTTACCAAGCGGGCTCTAATAATAAAGTCCTTTTAGACACCATTTTAAATTTTTCTCTTAAGATCCTTAAAGAGTTAAAATGGTTTAACTCCAATTCATTTAAAACTCGTCCTTGCACTTAACATTGATCGGATGTGTGAGTGCGCATACGAATGTGATTGAATTGTGGCCTTATTTACATTATCGTCTCGTTTTCGTGACAAAAGGCAAATCCCCCGAGTGCGTTTTCCACTCTCCATTACAGCTGCAGCCGCTGCAGCATTTGTAGTTGCAATTGCATTTTACACCATTTTAATTCAAATGCAAATAACGTTGAGAGGGGGAAGATTAATTTGATTTTCTGCTAACATTTTAAACTTTTCCTCGGCAATTTTCCGCCTTTGCCAGATATTTGCGATTGATGTATACCGCTTGGAATTTAATTAAATTCTTCCTGGTCTTTTTGCAGGGCTCAGAGCATGGCTATGTTATTACAGCTCCTTCTTGCGGTCTCCTGTGGATGAGGATGAGGATGTGGCTGTGGAGGTTGGTGGCTGGTGGCTGCTGCTCATATTTGAGCCTGCAAGTGTCGGCTTCGTTTGCCACATGTCACATGTTGCTGCAACCGGAATCCTTTCAAGGCAAACGCAAAAGGTCAGGCGGTCAGGTATGTGTGTTGCTACAGACCTTATATACTGGCCGTTGGGTATTATATTTTCAGGTATTTTATCACGAGTTCTGTGGCAGCGAAAGGTTCACAAGGTCACGCGAAACGTGTGCGAAACCTAAGCCATTGTTGAATGGAAGCCTCGTCAACAGAATTAATTGAATCCTAATTAGTTTGAAACTTCCTTTCCTTTGTTTTGGGCTTCTCGTTTCTTACCCATTAGTAGTTCCTGGTACAAACTTGGTAATTTCGCACATATGCTGAATGTGGGAGATTTAAATTTTACCATCTATGGGCTGCATTTGAAAGTCTGCTATGCTATTCTTCCCACACAAACACACAGGATTCTCTGTAATTGAGAGCTCCAACAAACCGACTTTTTGCTTCCACGGCTGCTGTGGTTGGATAATTACTGCCAAAGGTGAAACGTTCACCGAAAGCTTACCCCGCATGGGCGGTTCTGCGTGGGAGTGGCACAACCTGGGGGCGGTTACCAGGTGGCGGTGGGTGGCAGCGGAACAAATACGGCTGATTGGCAGGACATTGATTGGTCGCATGTACCGTGTGTGTAAAATGCAAAATGGCTTAGCTTTGGACTGCAAATCAGCGAAAATTGTGTGTGCACAAAGTACATAGCGTGACATTCTTGTAAGGCTAAACGTTAAAAATGTTAATAAGTTTGTAGTATAGTTTGCATTATAAGCATTAATTCCTGGCTAAGGAAAAAGTAGAGATTGCAAACTGTAAGAAAACGATAGCCATATAATACTAAAAATCATTAAAAGTAATTCAAATTTCTTCAGCTAAGTATTTAAACTTGCATAAAAAATTCTGTTAAATTATAGAAAATTAACCACTTATAAAAATATATTTAATTTCCGACAAACTGCAAGGAAATGCAATAAATAAAATGTAACTTTATGAAATATTAATCTTTTTTTCTTAATATGAAATACCAGGAAATACCAATTACTCGCACCCCAAAACGGACATCATTCAATAAATAGATTAATTATGCCAAAAGTTGGCATTTTCTATTCAGATTAAACTTTCGGTTTCAGTTTCAGTTTCGCATCGCGCTGTCCGCTGTACCGAATGTTCTTACTAATTCAATAGGGAAACTGTGTGGGTTTGTTCTGTGGACTCATTAAACGTAATCCCCTTATCCATTGGCCAGTCCAACCAGTCACCGGTCACAAGGGGCGTCCATGATAACAACTGGCTTTCGCTTTGGGCTTTGTTGATATTGAGACCTTTTTTTAGTTGGATAGAACAGCACAGCATCCGAGGGGAAATTACTGAATTTGCTGAATTTACCCACCTTTGGCATTGCATGACAATATCAGGTTTTCGTAATTACCCGACACTTCCAGGCATGAACTGTTAATTAAATCATTTACACACCGATGGCTCGCACCGCAATAGGTTTGTAAACAAATTTGAACAGCAAGTGAATATGAGAAATGCCTTTCTTTTTGGCCTGGCATTTCGACTGACCTTCAATTGAAATTGTAAATTCATAGATTCTGATGTGGGTGGACCAAAAATCCACACACACAAGCACCCATCAAAGTTCACCCAACCCCACCCCTTCACTACTTTTACAAATTGGATTGTTATCACTCAAAGTCCTTGGGCGATGCCGAGGAATTCTCACTTGTTTCACCCCTAAAACCGATTCGACCAGCCCCTTTCTGGTCGCCTGTCACTCGCAACTGTGCATCTGTATCCTGTGGGTTGCTTGGGTTTTTGGGTTTGGGATGTCAGCGCTTTGACACGAAAATAGTTTGGCCAACTTGGATAGGGCTATGCAAAAGCGATTTATATTAAGAGCAGCCATCAGCCGACATGTGCTGCCGAAAGTCGTCGATTTGGGCGGAGAGATTAGCAAAAGTTTTCAGTAAAATAAGATCAATATTTATCTCAAATAAATGAAATATTGCCTTGCCATTTGCTATCAGCAGTTCAAGGTTGGGTTCAACCGGTTGAAACCCGCTGGTTATCGTAAATCATGACCACGGTAGTCCCCTCGATTCGCTTCTTATCGCCACTGACGCATTCGATGGACGCATCAATCCCAAAAAAAATACAACATTTGGCCATTGTTGCTATCGTTTATTGAGACGTTTACAGCCCGCATATATAGAACCTCAAGTTAATCGAAAGCGATGCCAATCAGGCCGATGTGTTAAGTGAGTTAGGAGCACTTTTGCTGGGACCTGACGTCAGTGGGACTGCCACTGCTACTGCAGCTAGATTCAGTAGTCCAGTACTCAAAACCAATTGACGAAAGAGCCGACGGCAGCGGTCTGTACTCAATTCATCAATTGGCAACCCCTGGCAAAAAGGCAACAGAACGGCAAAGAAGCTAGAAAACAAAACAAAACAAGAGAGAACGCTATAGTCGGGTGCCCCGACTATCAGATACCCGTTACTCAGGTAAAGGGAGTGCGAAAGAGATGGAGAAAAACTTTGATCCGCCGTAACTTTTTAACGAATGGTCCGATTTAAAAAATTTCTTCTACATTTCGATAGGTATTGATAAACACAATAAAACTGCATTTTTACTTTTCCAAAATATTGAAATTTTTAAAATCGTATATATGCGATTGTGGGCGTTAGAGGGGGCGTGGCACCCTTTTGAAACAAACTTGCGCTGCGTAGGAACTCCTAGAATCTGCATGCAAAATGTCAATCTTCTAGCTTTTATAGTTTCCGAGATCTCAGCGTTCATACGGACAGACGGACAGACAGACAGACAGACAGACGGACAGACGGACATGGCTAGATCGACTCGGCTAGTGATCCTGATCAAGAATATATATACTTTATGGGGTCGGAAACGCTTCCTTCTACCTGTTACATACTTTTGCACGAATACAATATACCCTTTTACTCTACGAGTAACGGGTATAACAAGAGCAAACGCAAACAGAAATAGCATAGAAATGGACAACAGACGCGACAACACAGAGCACAGACCTCAATCCAATCGCACGGGGGGAGCAAAAAAGATGAGTTGCTTTTATTTTAAAATCGTTTCATTTATTTTGCGTCAGCAGCACCGCCTCTCAATGAGGAAACGCTGCGTATACATAATTTTCTGGGCAAATATACGCAATCCCATATCTGTCGGCCGTCGATTGTGGTTGTTCGGTTGATTCCAATCAAAAGCACAGACGAGTGATCTTTCCTTGGCCTTTGCAGGCTCTTAAAGAAAACGAAAACGGGTTGTTTTCGAGTGTTCTTGGCGGTTCGGAATTTGTTTTCGAATTCCACCTTTATCACATAGTCAAGAAACGGAAATATACTCAATGGCCTTTCCCAAAATATGTACTTCCATTAATAATCTTTCTCTTGAAAACTGATTTTAAGACTCAATCTCTTTACTTCTCTAGTAATCAGTTACTGATAACACTTTAAGGGGAATAGTTTGTTATTGCTTTATCTTGAAGTGATGATTACCATTATGGTTTTAGTTTGTAGTTCCAGAAATAGACTTAATCGGATTATAATTAAATTTCCTAGTGGGTTAACCCAAAAAAAAAACCTACTTAGTAATAACTAATTCGCGGTTATTCATGACTAACACTTAACACAAGATAATATAAACAAAGGGAAGTAATCTTGAATTCTCCTAGAAAGTATCAGACAATGTAAGGCAATTAAATCCGCAATTAAACCAATTTTATTGTTAGTTTGATTCCATACAATAATGTTCAAGCCATTAATGGGATAATGGGTTAATAACCAGCCACATTTCTTAGCCATACATCCCATGCATAGGTGCTATTAAATGATAGTTCTTGGCCAGCTGTTTTGTATATACTTTTCTATATCCCTTTTAAATACGCATTTGTTGGCCGTGACACGATGATTTGCCATTTTATTCACAAGTATTAATTTGTCATGATTCTTTTGAGCGTGCACTTTATCTGAAAGTCTGAACAGCTGGCTGGGAAATGGAATCCGGATTGGAATCGCCGAGTGAATCTGTCTTCGCCTCAGACGAGTGGGCGCCACTGGGCATGGGATTGGGGATATGGATATTTGTGGCACTGGGGAAAAGGACAGAGCTACGCTGAGGTCGCTATGCAAAGCCAAGGTCGAGATTTACAGCCAGGTCATTGTGTTGCTGGTTGCTGGCAGTTGAAACGCCCACGCACACGCCCCCTGTCAACTAGCCGGGTAAAAAATAGAATCAAATACATGCATAGAACAGGAGCCGCCACAGCAAAGCTCGCATTTTATTTGCATTTGTGAATTTATTGCGTTACATTTTTCCCTGCCCCAACTCGTTGGGCTGCTTGGGGAATTTTCGGGAATTCTACGGGATTGGGTTTTCGGTTTGAAGCAGCCAGGGGCTTCTACTGTTGCTCAAAGCAATTAAATTTGTTGAGAAAAAAGAAAAACAGAAAGCGAAAGCAGCAGCAGCAGCAACAAAGCGACCGCAACAGTGGCAACAAACCGCCTCAATCTTCATTTTTCAGCCAAGGACTTGGCACGTTTTAAATTCAGCCAGAGCAAAAAGGCCGGCGACAGTGGGCGGAATTTAATTTCAACGAAAACATATTACTTTATTGTTCACGTCTTTACCCACACCTCTAACTCTCGTTCGAAGTCCTTTACTTGAAGACAGTAAAAGGATTTTCCAACTTAAGGTACATTTCCTTTGACTTTGCTGTTTCCAATGAATATGCTTTTCTTTTAAACTTTATAGTTAGTTAGAACTTCGCTTACTGAAAGTTTGTATAAGTCAAACTAGTTTTATTAGCAATTTTCTTTGATTTTATAACTTATAAGTTAAGGGTGATTTTAGTTCATGGTAACAATTTTCTACATTTAAGAAAAACTTCCTTGATTTAAGAAAAACTTTCATGACTTTAGAAAAATTTCCTTAGATTTAGAAATAACTTTCTTGTATTTAGAAAATAGAAATTTTAATGGCGATTTTTTAAAATTTTGGGTAAAATTTATTTTGAGTGTAAAGTCTTCTGCCTTAAGTTATTAAAGTTCCACTGAAAAATGTTAATTCTGCTTAAATGATTTAATTTAAAAATTGAGATTACTCATTTAGTACTAAAAATAATTCATGGATCTCTTTAAAATATTTTTTCGTGGAAAATCTTCAATGTTGTTAGCCAATTTAGTGTTCAGCGAATACCAGGAATTTTTTAAGTGGTTAACGAAACGCTTTGTACCTTATATTGGGTATTACGACCACAGTGCAGTGGCTGGAAAAGTATGCGATAACAATAACAGCGTCCACTATGTGGTAGTGCTGGGGTTACGGGCTGTCAGTCACGGTCACGGCTGCATCCCCTCCCCACCCCTCCGCTCCACCCAATTTGAGTCCGGCAAACAATGGCTGCGGTAGGACGAAGGATGATAGTAAAGGAGATGAAGGAGGGGAAAATTCAATAGCAGCAGCAGGAAGAACAAATATTCCACACCCACGCAGGAGCAGCAGAAACTGTGGCAACAACAGCTGCTGCAGGATCAACGAGGTGGGAGTGGATTCGAGGACTTAAAAACGCGAGCAAACTAAAAACAATCAGATGCGCCGTAGCTGGAATACTGTTATAAGTAGTGTGGGCATTAATCAAGGGGGATTTTTGAAATTCCTGGGTATCTTTCTAGCTATTTCTAATTTTTATCCGGAATTCGTAAATCGGGGGTTTTAAAAATAAAGCCCTTCAAATTTCTGTTCTGAGTAATAAGGGGATTTTAAGGAAATCTCTTAAGAGTTTCTTATTCTGCTGTGTGATTCCCAGAAAAAAATGTATTTCTAAAAATTCTACCTTTCTGCACAAAATTTGAATATTTTAGTTAAAAGTTTATTATATCGAAAAATAAAGAAATTTAGAGAATTGATTTTCGGTATGGAAGAATGTTTCGAAAACTGAAAAATAATTTCATAAACATTACTTTTTTTAAAGCTGCAGATAGTATTTAGATAAATAAATTTTTGGGATATTAGTCCGATTTTTAATTAAATAAATAGCTAATTTTTTTTATAATCCCTTTTTGCACGCCACTGCAAGTGTATAAAATATAGAGCAACAAAAACGACATTATTGTCGGCAAATTATGGCATGTGCATAAAATGAGCAAGTGGAAAAAGGGGTGTCTTTTTGAAGGGGGTCTGTGCTAGCCTTGTACTTTTTGTGATAAAAACAATTCTCCTGAATGTTTATAAACAAATCGAGAAAGAGAGAGTGATGGCCGCAAAAGGGGGACAGGGGATGGCCCCTGTTCGCAGACGCTGCGGCACCAACACAAACAAACGCAACAAAGGCAACACAGCAACAATTTGCACGTAAAACCTCAGCTGCTGCGTTACATAAGAAATGAGAAACTCTTGCAAAAAGCGCAAATCTCAATTCGGTATGCAAATGGACCGCTGCCACAAATTTACTTACCTTTTCAGAAACTATTCAAAGGCCAAATTGCGATTCTTTTTTATGCGCCAAACGGCCGTTCTCCCTTTTGTTGTTGTTGCTGCAGGGGTTGCTTGACGCAATTGTTGTTGTTGTTTTCGCAATGCACACTGCCCGTGGCAACGGTAATTTGCAAGTGCACCGCTATTGTTGAATATTATTTAGCCGATTGTCATCCAAGTGGAAGCTTCCAGTCTGCGTCGTCATTCGCGGAGACGCGCTTTTTTCCGCTTTTCCGTTTTCCGTGACGACCGCTCGCGAAGAATTTTGTTTTTGTTTAGAGGTGGGTGTTTTTAGTGTTGTAGGATAAGAAATGGATTTTCCCTAAAAAATCCTGAAAAATATCGATATTTAATGGCGACTATCGGCATTAATAAATCACTGAAATGTTAAAGTCTAGCGGTTTTTTTTTAACAGAAATGTTAAGATTCACGCTGTTAAGATAATTTGGCACAGCTATAGAAAGAGATAGAAATTGCAACACTTACGCTGCTGCTCTGTTATTAACATAATGTTAAAGCAAACGGCCTCACTTAGAGATGTGCGATAGTGGAAAACCGGAATATTATCCGATATCTTTCAGTCCAAAGGGAAGCCCAAACATTGCAGAAAATAGCCATTTTTGTATTAAAACTCGGGAATTAGGTGCCAAATAAAAGCGCAGGAGGAAAACATGGCCAACGTGGAGTCAATGATTGTGGAGGAGAAGACGCAGGTCAAGCAGATTGACCGCGAGAAGGTTTGTTTGCCCAACCGGCGGGGGAGGCAATGTTTACCTGGAAACTTCTCGGATTTACCTAATTTCTATGACTTTTTCAGACCTGCCCTCTGCTGCTCCGAGTGTTCTGCTCCACGGGTCGCCACCACTCCGTGCAGGAGTACACGTTCGGCAACGTGCCCACCAACGAGCTGCAGATCTACACCTGGCAGGACGCCACCCTCCACGAACTGACCTCCCTGGTGAGGGACGTGAATCCGGACACCCGCAAGAAGGGCACCTACTTCGACTTTGCGGTCGTCTTTCCCAACTTCCGGAACAATCACTTCCAGATGCGCGAAATCGGAGTGACCTGCACGGGCCAAAAAGGCATCGACGACAACAAGACGCTCGCCCAGGCGAAATTCTGCATCGGGGACTTCCTGGACATCTCGATAACGCCGCCCAACCGACTGCCACCCACCGCCAGGCGCCAGCGACCCTACTGATGATTACATTTCAATCTATTCTAATCGTATTTAATCTTTCACTTGACACTCAATGGAGTATGGACATAATTATAAGTGGAATACACACAAGTAAGACGACCTACGAGCTGCTTGACTTAAGGGACTATGATGTGGGTAGTAGTATCTCAGTTCCTGTAGATGCCATTCGGGCGCTTCGACTTCTTCTTGCCCAGCTGCGTCATATCGATCTCCAGGCCGTTGGGCAGCACGGCGCGGTTCTCCTCGTAGTTGATGAACCCGTTCTCCTGCAGCTCCTCCTCGTTGTTGCGGTTGTTGGGATCGCACTTGATGCCCGTCTCGTAGTGGTACTCCCGCTTGTTGCCGTCGGGGTCAACGTAGCCATAGGTGCCCCTAATTGGAGGAGAAGAAGGGTTATTTGCTTAAGTATTTCATCTAAAAGAAGAGACTATCTAATACCCGTGACTCGGCTAAAGGGAGTGCAAGGGAGATGGACATATAAGAAACTTTGATTGCGCATAACTTTTTAGTGAATGGTCCGATTTGAAAAATGTCTTCTACATTTCGATAGGTATTTATAAACACTATAAAATTGCATTTATATATTTTTAAAATCTTAAAAGATGTGGCCGTTAGACACGTTTGTGGGCTTTAGAGGGGGCGTGGCGCTCGGCTGAAATAAACTTGCGCTGCGTAGGAAGCCCAAGAATATGTGTGGGAAATCTGAACCTTCTAGCTTTTGTAGTTTCCGAGATCTCAGCGTTCATACGGACAGACAGACAGACGGACATGGCTATATCGACTCGGCTAGTGAATATATATTATCCCTTTCTTCAAAGCTTTACTCACTTGGTAATGCAATCGGTGCCGATCAGCTCCTCCTTGAAGGAGCCATCGTCGTTCTCGTAGCCCCAGGTGATGCTCCCATCCTCGTTCTCCTCGCGCCACTTGCGAATAGTCTGGGAAACGGGCTGGCGGCGACGCTGCTGCTGCTGGTCGACGCGGTCGTCCTGCAGTTGATTCTGATCGATGAGGGGACGCGGCTGAACTGGCTTAGGGCGCGGCCGGGCCACAGGCTGTGGTGCTGGTGGCTCAGGACGCAGGGCAGCAGGCGCCGCTGGTCTCGTTCGGATCACAGCCACTCGCTGTGGCTGCTGAGGAGGAGGTGGTGGTGGTGGCGCTGCTGCTGTGGGAGTGGGTCGCTCCAGGCCGAATCGCTGCGAGTTCTCAAACCGACCGATGCCGAAGTCGTTAAAGGCGGCGGGACGATTGAGAGGCGCTGGAATCGAGGGACGTTCGGCGGGAAAGCGAGCAGGAGCTGGTAGAATAGCAGCCGGCTGGGAGTCCTCGTTCTGGAGGAACTGCTGCACTGGCGAGGGTTGCTCCACGGGTTGCTGGCCAGCCAGGAAGGCGGCCGCTGCCTGCTGGAACTGCGATTGCTGGGCCTGAGCCAACTGCTGTTCCCGCAAGAGATTCGGCAGGAATGGCTCCGGCTGCTCATCCTCCGCCGACTCAGTCACGGGGCGTGGCTCCTCGAGGGCGATGCGTTGCGTCACCGCCGGCAGGATGACATTCTGACGGAGGGAATTTCCCGGACGACGGACACGCAAAACAGGCTGCCGGTGGGGCACTGAACCAGGTGATGGCACTGCTCCGGGGATGTTCAGGCGCTGCGGATAATTCTGGGCCTCGGCCAAAGCGAGGGCGCTGCAAACGAGCTGCAATCGGATGGAAAATGGAAAAAATGGAAGTCATTAGTGCCGTCCATTTAGGGATCAACTGTGTCAATTGCCGGAACAAGGCGTTACTTTGGCGACAGCATGCCACACGTGGCCAATTTGCCACTACCTGGTATCTCGCTTAATTATTTCTATATGGTCAGTTTTGACTTGTTGTTCGCCCCATGGCTTCTTAGAATTTTCATCACCGCTCGACGGTTTTGGGGGTGGAATAGAAATACCATCGAATTGCGATTTACTTATTTGGAACCCTAGTGGTCAATGGGTTCATAGAGGAATAGGAAAACTATTTTATTATAATAATATATAATATATTTTTTGGATTTCCGTTGGGGAGGTAAAAAGGTCTACAGATACTTTAAATTACAAATCTTAAAGATGTTGGGTATATTACCATTTTTTTTTACATTTGAATAAGAGGGTAAAATGTTTATATTTTTTCTGTAAAATTTCCTTGCCTTTTTAATAACTTTAACGATACAATTAAATTGAAAAGCCTTTATCTTTTTAAATAACTTTATATACAGATCTTTATAATTTGTTAAGAAACTGTCCGCTATTTCTCATCAACTCCCCCATATTAATAGTTAAATTCCAAAAACTACCTATATTTTTAGCATTCCTCGATTAATTAAAATGCATTTTGGGACTGGTAAAAATATCTCCACTTGCCGTCACACTTTTGTGGCACTTCTTGGTTAGCTGCTCGCCTCACACCTCCGTAAACTGGTTTAAAATTTATCAACCGCTTATGTACTGCCGCAGCAATTTGTAATTGTAACGGTGTGCTGCCGCCGCCACAGCAACAACAACAACAACAATTGTGGCAATACTGTAATGGTTGTAAATGTAGCACATAAAACAAATCGCGATTTTTGCCCCACCTCGCTGCCGATCGATCATAAAAGCCGATTCCAAAAAGCCAAGACAAGCCAGAGCCAAAGCCAAAAGCGAGACCAAAAACAGTAGAGAAAAACCGAAAACATTTCAGTCTTTTGCCGTCTGGGTTGCGTAATTTGCATGGCCGGAGTTATGCGACTCTCGTGGCGGCATGTAGCATGTGGCAAGCACATTGGCCAAAAGTTTCCGGTTCGCGAAAGAAGTCAAAGTCTAGGACAAGTGACCGACCGCCTAGTCGTATACTTAATTTTTCTTTTTTTTTTAGCACGATGTTTCGGTGTTTCAACTTTTAATTAGTAGCCCCTGTTATTACACAATTCTTAAGAGGGAGGTGAAGTGGAGGGTTTATTTTAGCCGGCTTATGGGTTTTTGCCTTTGGTTTCGGTTTCCATCTGGCCACAGATCAGATAACTTTTTGCCCCACTTCATGAGGTAGCTTATATAAAAGAATTACTGGTTGGGGAAGTGAATAAAAGTCAATACGGAATTATGTTTTCCATTAAAGTTCTTGACAGAATTGGAAACCCGAGTGGGGAATTAGTTTGAAATTGGTGGTCATTTGGGAATTAATATTTTAACCAATTCTGTAATTCACCTTATTTTTTTAATTCTCCTTATTTTTTATGGTTTTTGTTAAGATGTCTTGATATTTGCATTAAAGGGTAATTAGATTAATAAAATAAATAAGTAAATTATATCTGTACATTTTACAATCCTAAGAATAAGTTCTTAAGTATGTTTGATAAAATTTTGCAATTAATTTTTAGCCTAAGCTTAAAAGAGTCATCAATCCCTTAAGTTTAATGTACCTTATTAATTGAATAACTTATTTCCTAGGTATTTATATACCGTTTCCAATCTAAACTGTCGCCCATAATTCAATTGTTCAAACATGAATAACTATTACGGCTTATGGTTTATAATAATCAATCGAATCCAATGAAGCCTTCGGCTCATTCAGATTTTGTTATGCATGCAGTCAACACATTTTTCTGCCCGCTTCTGTTGTTGTTGTACTATTATTATCCATTACTTTCCTGTATCTGAGCCATTGGCTTTGTTTTTTCGCTTTTAGTTTATCTTTGTGTTTGCGTTGTTGACCATTGAAGCCGAACATTCCAGTGGCTTGGCTGGCTGCCCAACTACCTGGTCAAGTGAACTACTTGGCTTTTATAAATTAATGAAAAGCCAGGCCAGGGAGATATGTAGCTGAAACTGAAAAACTGAGCAAGGCCCGCCAGACACTTGCAGCTATTTATTTGGGTGCATTGCTCGGCAGGGGAACTTGATTTGATTTAATTGCCTTTATGACTCCGCCTTGCGTCTGCGTCGCGGTTCAAGGAAACCGAAAAATTTCGTAGTCATGTGTAATGGGAAGGTGTTCCCAACTTCAAGTTGAAACCAAAACCAAAACCAAACCAGGTGAAGCCAAGCCTAGTCCCCAGCTGGATGCAGGCGTGGGTGTTCCACTGGTGGAGCATCATCAACATTTATATCTTCATCATCAGCGAAAGACAACAAAAGATGTTTATGTTCCCGTTGATCTTCCATCATCATTAGTAACAATAACTTGGCTAAGGACTTTTAAGACAACCTTGACTGTCCGAATGGCCATTGACCGAACAACCGAATGAAATCGAAAATATGTCCTATGCCAGCCAGGCATTTTTCTGTTATTTTTTTCGGTTTTTTTTAGCTGGCTGGACTCGTTGAGCTGGAATAGTTGTCAGTGCACTTTCGAGCCGGCTCGGGTCTCTCAAATATGTAACACTTTATGCATGTATAAAGGCTTATTTATGCAGGCTTACTTTATATACCCGTTCATTACGTAATCCCAGCACACTACGCCCAAATGCGTTGCGGTGTGGGCAAGTATCTGTATCTCGGTATCTTTGTATCTGTATCTCTAGCTGCACCTGAATATGAAGCCACTGGAAAAATGAATGGAGTGTGCGTGCCGAGAATTTGCATCGCCTTGGGTGCGTTTTCTGTGGATGTGGATCCCAATCGCCCATAACTAGTTATTAGCTGCGGCCACCAACGACCTTGAAACACATAATATCGGTGCTCGCACAAATAACGTGTCGTGACGAACTGCTCGCGAACAATACTCCCCGAAAATTACCGGCAAATTGAGTGTTTCTTGTCATTAACAATTCATTTTCTGGTCTACATTTTGGCCAACTCATTAGGCCGTATCCACAATTTCGCCAAGGCAATCAATCAATCAAGCAAAAGCGGGAAAATCTGATTAGATACGCTGATTTATGGGGTTTTGAAAGACCATTTAAGATGGAAAATTTTAGAAGGATATATATTAGTTTTAATAGATTTTTCTCAAGTAAAGAAGAAATATTTAGAAATATTTTTTTTGGCTTCGGGACTTTGTATAAAAATAAAAACATTTTAAGGAAGTTAAATTGAATAAAGGTCTCTTAAGCCCGTTTGTTTTGATTGATTTGGTTGATTGTATCGCAAATAATTGTATTTATTTATCACATAATTGGCCATTCATCAGCTTTGCGCAGTAGCCAAAGCCTTTGATAATCTTTGGCAGAACAGCAAATTGAACTCAAGTCAATTGTGGGCCAATTTCGAGAGCCCAATATTCAGGTTAATAATGGAGGTCGGGGGGAATTTTGCAAAGTTAAGGCGGAGCTGGGCTTAAAGCCAACAAATGCTCGTTAAAATTTCTGACCCGAGGGCTTGGTTTGGTAATTCCTCAAACGGAATTCTTGGGCCACACAGTGCAAAGAGAAAAAACAATTGCTGGGCGATTGTATCGCATATTTATGATGTGAGTTCCTTTGTATTGCTCGATCGTTGGTTTTATGATGCCAAACGAAATGAAATGTCAATTGGCCAACATTAATTGCTAATTGCATTGCATTGAGACACAGGTACACACAACAACTCGCGCACTTTCTATAAAATGCAAATACTCGTAAATAAAGTAGTAAATGTATCAATCTGAGATCGAGTGATCTTAAGCTGAAACCCGAACGACCTTGATGGCTGCATATTTATGATTCACTGACATGCTTAAATGGTGACTTGACCGAGAACACGAACACACATATGATCCTTAGTTTCAGGCTTCCAACTTACCGCAATTAGTTGGAGTTTCATAATGGATCTCTGGGCTGGCTGACTCCTCTTCGCTTTTTGTAACACTTCCGCAAGACGAAAAGAAAGCACTTTTGATGTCAGGGAGAACAGAAACTTATTTATCCGCAGGGCACCTGGTACTACTTCTTGGCCAACCGTTGATCGCTCAAATGCTGGGCCCGCCAGGTGCGCAGGCGGCTTTATAGCTCCTGCTCCAACGCCAATCGGAGCTTTGGAAACAGCGGTGGAAAATTTATGTGCGGTGTGTGTTTGGCATGGACTGAAATAAACCAAATGAAATAAATGACCGGGCCGAAAGTGGAGCGCATCTCTCGATGAAGTAACGAAAGTGACAGGGCTGCCTTCTTTTTTGTTATTTGCACTCTTTTGTGGACATGAGAATTGCGGTGTTCGATCAGCTCCGGGAACGTGATATAGTTTTAAATTACTTTTACCGCCTTTAACTGTTTCCATTTAAATTCAATGGGCTGGCAACGCTGCTGCTCAAGCTTAAAGTTTACGTTTAACGAAAGGAAAGTCTGACCAACAGAGCGTATGCGCAATGGTTGGTGTATTGGCTAGAATGGGTTATAGCAAAGTTAGTATGGCTTCCAACCATTCCTATAAAAATTAAAATTCCATAATAAAACTAATTCCTTTTGCATATCATAAAAATACTGCGTTTTTAATGCAATGAAAATATAAATAAAATCATATCAATTAAATAAAATCATAGTTAATGGGTAGAATGAGAAAAACGATTTAGTGCGGGTGCGCAAAGTCCCCCAAAATAGGTCCAATATATATCACAGTTAGGCATGTCATAAAACGGAAGGTCAGCTCCTCTAAAAATGTCCAATTCCCGATCCTGGCTATTCCACATCCTTCATAAGGCTGATGGCAATGGCGCCAATCAGACCGCTTACTCCCATAACATTCAAGGGCAGCAGGGGATCAATGTGCTCCTATGATATGAAGATGAGAACAGATTGGTAAAATCAAGATATTATAGGTAAACGATTTGAGAACCCACCAGTTGCCAGAGGAAGGGCACAAGGATTAGGGCCACTCCCGAGGCCAAATTGCCCATGCCAACGCCAAAGTTGCGAACGATAGTGGGATATTGCATTGCAGTGTAGGTGGGAATAATGGCGTTGTTGGCTCCAATAAGGCACTTGGCTGCAAGAGGAGATTGTTACTCCCTTATCATTAATGAAATTCACAAGTTAACTACTTACCTATGGTGGCCAGTGCAATCACACCCGTCTGATTCGGCATTAGATTCGTGGCCAGACAGCAGAGACCCGGCAGTAGCATGTAACCAATGAGACTTTTTCGTATGCCAACCTTCAAAACCACCAAGATGCTGATGCAGATGGAAATGGCCTCCACGGATCCCGCCACGGCACTATTGATGTAGATGTTGCCACCCAAATTGCTAAGGTGCAAGGTCAGGCCAAAGTAAATGATGATTAGGGTGAGCCAGATGACCAAAGTGAGGCATGTGGTGCGCCAGTACTTGGCACTAAAAACCACCAGCAGGGGATTCACATGGCTGTGATCGGGTGCCTCTGCTTCGGCTGCCTTCACCTCTTCGCTGGTCGCCGCTTCTGGTGGAGATTGGGTGACCGCCCGAGGAACCGCCGCCTCGAGCGTCTTGCGATAGTTACTGGGCAAAGTGCCGCTGGTCCCATTCATTCGGGCCGCTCGCTCAATTAGCGCGCACAACTCATCCAACCGACCCTGGGCCAAAAGCCAGCGGGGCGACTCCGGCAGCCAAAACCTGAAAAGGAATGGTATCAATGGAATCAATGTCATGCCCCGGTATTTATTGGCCGCTTGGAATTTTTTCATTTGATTTCCAAGAGCGGTCAGCTAATGTGGCTTCCTTTGGCCCGGATAAACACTGAGGAATTTCCTGGACAGGGGTTTTTCTTTGTCCCTGCCGGAATCTAATTGGTCCCACATCCCACGCATTGTGCTGTGTGTTCTCGGTTTTCTGTTGTCAATTCATTTAGTTGACTGGCTATTAGAAATGTTTACACTTTGAAGTTGAAATGCGCTTTGAAATGGACAACAAATAGAATCTAAGAATCTTGTCTGATTTATTGAAGGAATTATCTTATTTTAAGCGGCATATTAAAGAACTTTTAAATACAATTTTAAAGCCAATTATAAGAAGATAATACTTAAAACAAACATTTATATTAGTATTTAAAGATTCATATTTCTATTTTAAAATATTAGCATGCTATAGTCATGCAATTTTAATTATAGCTAATATTTTCTTGAATATTTCTTGTTGGTAAAAATGTGTTCTTAGTATTTTACCAATGCAAAAAAATATAGAAAATATTATTGTAAGTATTTTTTGATTAACGGAAGGTAATACTAATACTAATCATGATTTAATTAATCATAATTTAATTAATAAAAATATATCACTTCAGCGTTTATGAAAAAAGAGCCTAAAGCAGAATGCATAAAAAGACCTCGATTTCCCCCAAGCTGATTTCCCAATACGGTTTACCAAATAAACGGCTCATTATGGCATAGGCCCCCTCCCAGGATGCAGAACTTACCAAATTGTGAGCATGATTAGCCAGGGAAAGGAGATGGCCAGCTGGAGGTGCCGCCAGTCGCGGATGAGGTAGGCCAGTCCGGCGGAGAGGACGTACGAGATGGCCACGGGCAGAATGTTGAGAATGCCGATTACGGTGCGCCACCTGCCGGAGACCAGCTCCACCACCAAAACGAAGCTCACAACAGTCACGGTCATTGATGCGAATCCAATTATAACACGTAGCGACATGAACATGGCCACCGATGTTGAGAAGGCCAAAATTCCACCTGCAACGACGGAGAGCAGAGGGGAGAAGTGAGGTGGTAATGGTGGACAAAAGGGTGGCCGGGGGGGTGGTGGGTGCAGAATGTCAGTGGCAAGGTCGGGCACGTAAATAAGAGTGTAAAGTCAATTAAAATCCCAGCCGGGCCAGAGAGCAGGACAAATGCAAATGCAGCTGTTAGCCCAACGATTCACGGACAAAGCTGCATATAAATGACAATTAGAAAATGAATCCCACTCAAATTGCCATGGTCAAAGGAATTCTCGTCCTCTCGGCCCTTTTTTATTTTCTCGGACTGTTGCAATTTAACCTGAAATCTACACAGAGAAAAATGGGTTCAAACATTATCTTCTTTAAAAAATCTGTTGATTTTGAAGATCTCTTTTCTTATAAAAAGCCTTATAAAATTTTTTATAATTTCTAGATTTTTAAAATTTTGTTTTAAATCAACTTTAAGCTAGTACTTACCGAAAACACTTTGGATAGTGACGAATGCCATTAGGGTGTGCCTTCTGCCAAAGCGATCTGAAATCCAGCCGCTGAGCACGGCTCCTGCTGCAGCGCCTACCAGAAAGCAGGTTTCCACCAGACTGAGGATGTCCCGACCGCAAACCAGCTCGAACTCCTGGACCAGAGTCTTAGCAGATCCTTCCTCGTCGGAGAACTCAAAGTGCCGGCACTGCCGGTAACCCATTTCTGAAGCATTTGCCGGCCAGTTGACCAGCTGATTATCCTCGTAGGTCACCTGGGTGAAGTCCATATCGAGCAGCAGGCAACCATTTGAGGACTGGCTGATATTACGCCATTCGGAGACACTCATCTGCATTAGGTTGTCCGGCCGCGCACACCAAAAGTCTTTGGGAGCAATCTATAAAGTAAAAGTAGTATTGAGAATTTATAAAGATTTATAATCCTTATGAAAATATTAGTTTTAAGTTTACTATTAATATATAGTGATAATAACCAGATTCGCAGACCTAATCAACATTTTCTCAAGATTGCTCTTTTAATTTCTGATAACACATTCTCTTTTTAATGCCATGCAGATGGCGATTTTAAGTCAAACAATTTTAAACTTGTTTCGTTAAATTAACACAAATTTTACTTGTCTAAATTAGCAAACAAATGTCGCAATATAAAGGTTGGTGGCTTTCAAAAGTCCATAAATAACTTTGCATATAGAAATGCTATTAAAAATTGAAGAAAAAACTTTTTCTCAGGATTTGCGTAACAAGTTCTCATAGGAATACGAAAATACTAAAATTTTGAATGTTTCTTGATTCAATTCACGTTTGCAATTACGTGGACTACATAAGACATTATCTTTTTCCAACTTCCATTGCTTCGAGCCAATCAAAGTTTGAAAGGGGAGCTATAAATCGAACCGGAGATTGGAGATCGGGCGGGACTCAATTTAAATCGGTAGTAAACCGTTTAAATTTCTTCCGCATGTTGATTGCGGTTAGCTCGTAGTTAGTTTGTTTTACAGCAGCCCCATTTGTCATTTGGGTTTCGATTGCGAATGTTTCGTGACAGGTTAACACGGCTGAAATTACTGAATCTTGTTCGAAAAAACACGAACAAAAATGTGCGGCCGTCTGATTGATGATCGAATCAATGGAAGCGGCTTATCAATCGCAAAACGGGGAGGCGAAAAGGTTGTTCACCAGCACCACCGCCCACTATACGAAACCCCCTTGATACAACCCATAAACAACTATGTACAACTTACAACAGGTTGATAGCCTCGGCCGACATTGAACGTGCCTCAATTAAACATTTAGCAGGCGCTGCGAGGAAATGGTTTCAAGTTCAAGTTGAAGTGTAACAAGAAAGCGAAACATTTTCAATAATTAATGGCCAGGGAAAAGGTAAGCTTTTCCCAGTGAGGTTTCCTTATTTTTTCACCCGGCTTTGTGGCTTTAAGTCTGGCGACTTTTGATCGCGTGGCAGCCTCTGATGTCATTTGTGGCCGCCGTGGCAGTTGTTCTGTCGCCAGTCCGTTGGTTACATGTCACGTTTCAGGCGAAACATTTGCATAGCGAAACAGACTCTCGACTCTCGGCCAACAATGGAATTCTGTGCCACAACGTGGGCAGTAGTTCTCGACTTTGACTACACGGGGCACATAAATTTCGCTTGATAAATTGGTTTGCAGATATGCACGAGCTGCACCTGAGAGTGCGCTTTATATTAATGACAGCCAGGCAGGCACACTGGGCTAGGCTCTAATTACCCCCAACCCTTCGAGAATTGGATTTAAAAAACTGTATTTTTCGGAAAATATTCCATATTCTATTGATTTATAATAACCAATTCTTCAAAAGCTATCATGTAGGGGACTTACCAGGTCAAGCACCCTGGCTAAGTGCTTGCACAATGCAAATCTTAATTTAGATATTCAACTAATGGCACGATTAGTGACAATACATGTTCTATTGTTTCGGAGTAAGGTAGTGACATATCCGTAATTGATTGGTTCGGAAAAGTTTGAATCGATTTGCATTCAATTGGCTAGGAAAACGTCAGATGAGTCTGTTAACTGAAGCTAAGAATTTTTAGTTAGTCATTGGATTAATTTCCTGGATTCTTATGTTTTGTAAATTACCTTTCTTATCGATAACATTTTTTTAGCATAACCTTTTGCTTCTGTTTAAAACAACGAAATATTTTTAACTGATCTGTTTTTGTGTCCATGAAATTGTTTATATTTTAAAATTCGTGGTATCTTGAATAGTTCCAAAATATTTCTTTAAATTTAAATGATTGTTATTTTTTATTGACAATTATCTCCTTAGAATTGTCAAGGCTTTTTTAATGCCAGATCAAACAAAACGATTCTCTTTTAATTAAATTAAATTTATTCAATCTAATAAGAGGAGGGTTTTGTCTAAAAACATCTGGTTCATCTGGCCTTCTGAGAGATTTTCTGATTACACAAAGCCAGACTGTTAAATATAGTACGACGTCTAGTCTAGGTGCTTATGGGGGATTGTTAACTTAATTGTTACAGGGTCATCCACTGACCCTAGGTGAGAAAGTATTCAAATTGCTATTTTAGATCTAAATTCAAATCAGATTTGGTTTCTCCGGCAGATTGGAGACCAGTGTACCAGGTTTAAGTTGAGTGTGTGGCTCACAGAGGTATTTCTGTGCATTTTATTATTATTGTTTAATTAATATATTTAGACAGTTAGCGGTCAATATTGGCCTGTGGCAGAGTGTAACCTTTCGAAGGCAACCTTGGGCTCGGTTTGAAGTCGGAGCAAACCACCGACACCACTGACACCACCTGATATGGATCAGTTGGGAGTGGAAACTAATTGAAAAGTCTCTAACTGCTCAGCGGGAAATCGTGTTGTCATGGTGTCAGACCGCAGAGCTTAATCCACCGAGCTGTCGTCTTCTTCAAAATAAATAAAACACAAAGCGTGCAATTTGCGGACTTGGCCAATTAAGATAAGGTAATCCAACACGAAGACTGTGTCAAATATATGCCATTAAATCAGTGTAAACAAATCAACGACTTTCGGGGGTTGAGCAGGGTGGTAAACTCGTTTCGGCCTAAGCCAGTTCAAATTTGTTATTACTGCGCTGGCAATTATTGTGTGTCAATAATTAAGCCAGAAGTGGAACAATTAAGGTGGAAGAGTCCAAGGCGCATTTTAGACTAATGAGTAAAAGTTATAACTGAACAATTTTAAATATTTGCAAATTCTTTAATTATATAAAATAAAATCACACAAGTTTCAGGTATCTGAAACATTTTACTAATTAATTTGACAAATATTTCAACTGGTTCAATTAATAAAACACAATTTTAAGCCTTTAATGTTTCTTCTACACATCAATCTTTGTAAATTGAACAGTTCAATAAACACATTAAATGTATCTGATACTGGCAATTCCCGCTCCCAATTTCGCTCAATGAAACTGTATCTTTGGCGGATCAAAAGTAAGTCTCGCAATCAATCGAGAGCGAAAACACGGGCAACAGGTTTGAGCTGAGGCACACACACCTGCAAACGGAGTCACTTGAATTCACGTTATCACAGAAAAAATAAAACGCTGATAACTGACATTGGGGGAGGCTTCGTGTACTATGAACATATGGGTGGGCAAAGGCAAACACAGAACCTTGTCAATTGCGGTTGAGTTGTAGTTGTCCCTCTATACGAGTACACCAGCATTAGCTCGCATTAGTTGGCACATGTGGCAGGCGATGGAGCGCGACGATGGTCTAAGGCCGAGCAATCAACTCAACCCGACTCACCTGGAACACGTAGACGAATATGTGGAAGGTGCAGATGGCCTGGAAGATCGAGAGCAGGGCACACCACCTGGCCTGCCAGGGAGTCAGGCAGCCCAGCAGGCGTTCCAGGAGCTTGGTGTGCAACTGGTCCAGCTCCTCCATATCGCCGGACTCCAACATCGGCGAGGCCTCGTCCGGTCCACTCACATCCGTTAGCTCCATTCTGGCCCGAATTTCGAATTGCAACCGCTTGCCTCTTGCGATGCAAGTCAACTGAGTTAGAATGCTCGACTTTCGAAAAAATATATATCTTATGAAATTCAAATTGGTCTCAGATGCAAGATTCGGCAGGTGTCGAGAGCCGAGAATGCGTGTGCCAGAGAGTTTAAGTCGAGTCTCTGGTTTTCACGCAGGCGCGCCGGTATTTAAGATTTCTGTGGGGGCCCCCGAGAGATAATGTCCAAAAAAATACACACTCGGCGATATTACGATAGCCAAATTACTTGTTAACTCTGTTTCTGTCTTCATGAGTCATTAAAGAATCACTTGATGACTTTATAACTTTTATGGGGAGTGCCTTGACCAACTCCTCCCACAAGGTTGATGCACACTCTGCGACACTTGAATTTCATTTGGTACATCCAGCCAACATAAAGATATTTTTATAGAACCCAACTTTCTTTAGTTCGGCAGCCGTCTAATCTTATCTGCACACGACTGTCTCTATTATTTGATTGGTTCATGTAGATATAGAGGATTCTTTTACAATTGCTTATTGTTTGTCTTCTTTAAGATAACATTATGCTTATCAAGGCGAAAAATAGCACAGAAGCAATCAAAGCAGACCAAGTCGTTTGCATTAAATGTGTTATCAAAAGTGCGCCAAGTTGTTGTCTATTTCGCTACTATTCAATTAGGTTCCTATTGATGATTAAAAAATACTTTTATAGTTCGCGGTGATAAAAGTTTTGATAGACCAGGGTTTGACTATACTAAATCTTAAGACTTTAAAAATGATCTAACACTTCTTCGCTCTTGCATCACACAGCCACTAAGGTTAACCAATCTCTATACTTATTCCCCAATTTATTAACGCTCGATTGGTATAATTAACCTCTGCAAAATAACTGTGCTCAGTTGGTCGAACTTCTTGGGTTCTTGAATGACTATTGCAACTTCCATTGGTTCTTGCCAAGCTCTATTACCCACCGAATCCACCGATCCGCCAATCCGACGATCGTGTGTGTCAAGGTCGCGTGTGGTTTTTGCTTAGCTCCCTTCGATTTGGGGTTACCTTTTGTCAGTCGTCGGTGATTACCCTGATTACCTTAAGCATCGGAGAATCATAGGCAAATAATGCACACGCAACCTGCTCGCCGATAAATGACTCCTAAGTGGCTGTGACAGCCTCCCTGAAAAAAGTTGGTCAAAAGTGCCCGAAGGTCGATCATAGTTTTCGAGGGGCAATTCGAAAAAAAGGTCGAGCTAAGTGGGCCTCAAAAAATGTGTGGCCAAAATTGGCATGCGTGCTGCCGTGATTGTCGGTGGTCGGTTAACTCAAGTGGCAGCCTCTCAAAAAAAAATTGTTATCAATTGTTTTGTATATTTCCACCTTACTCACTCCACGCAAACTCATTTGCTGATAACGTTTTTTCTTTGTAATACCCCCTTACTCTCTTTCGCTTTTCATTCGGCAATTACTTCACTGTCAACACTTCGCATCGATGAGATACACACAGGCAATTAGCCGCCTATTATTAGTGCAAATCACCAACAGACTTTACAGCTATCAATCAATCAATTGCACAATGTTTTCTTCCGGTCTAAACACTAAACAGCCCTGCATCCGGTAAAGGTTTTTTTTTTAGGTGGGTAAAATGGTAGGCTTACCTACCAAAATATTTGATTTTCATGTTTTTTTGGCGACGCAATCAACTGGGCAAATATTTACCATGCCATAAAACCGAAAACCTAAAACCGAAACTCACCTGGAAGACAAACATGAACAGGTGGAAGGTGGTGGGCAGCTGGAAGAGGCAGAGCAGCAGGGTCCACAGGAAGCTCCAGCGGGTGTAGTGGCCCAGGAAATTGGATATCACGTCGCTGTCCGCATCCTGGCTGAGGTCCCTTTTTGGAGGTTGCTCCCTCTGCTCCTCCTGTGCGGCTGGCTTCTTGAGGTCTTCGGAGTAGCGACGAAAGTCCAATGCTATGACACTGATTTCCGGGGTCTTTGGGCCGGGCCTTGTCTCGCGATATCCGCCATACAGGTTCGCCTCCAGGCTGCCCCTGCCCTTGTCCCTCGGTCCGCCCACACAGTCGAAATTCAGGGAACCGCGACGAAGCACGCCACTCATATCGAGGAGTAATATCTATCTATATATCTAGCGATTTCCCAAGACTTCCGATTTTATTGCTCCACTTTTGCGTTTCGATCGATCGATTGGAAATGAATATAAAACCCGCGTCGATCGTTGGTATCTCAGCCGTCGGCGTCGATCTGGAACCGTTAAAAGTTTGGGGGCTCTGTTATAAGCACTCTGTAAATCTGCAAAAGAGCGAAAGCTACGGCCGAAGGCATTGCCAGCATCGAAAAAGCTTAGCTTTAAGCTTCAACTACCCCACGATCGTTCGAATTGGTATAGGTCTTTTCAAAACTTTTATGAGCTTGAGTGAGCTAGAAAACCTTCCTTAAAAATCCCCTAGAATACAAACAAATATTTTATTTTATTTATTTATTTATATTTTATTTTGACACTATAATTGCGTTTGCTTTGGTAATTTTGATTTACAACAATTTTCATAAATTTATTCGAGTGCTTCATCTCAACACCGTCAACTTAACAATTAATTTCATGTTGTTTTAGATTCGGGTATTCCGTTTATTTGAAGCTTAAAAAAATCTCTTACTTATGACAAATACATAACAAAGCTGATCTGATCTTAGCGGGTAAGTACAATAGGCAACAGAAAAGTAATCGTTAGCGAAATAAAAGTACGGAAAATAATACAAAATACAAAAGATGAGCAAATAACAACTTGGTAGGTAAGTACAACAAGTAATTCAACAGGTTTGCTTTTTCTAATTTGATTGTTTTTTTTTCACTACATATACACAAACGCACACATATCCATATACACATAATTGTATACATTGTTAAATGCATTATATTGGAAATTTATTTTCTTCATTTCATATACATACATATATTCTTTAATGACTCCAAACAATAAAACTCCTTGTATGCGCTGTGTCCCCAAAAACACAGACCGACATACATATATACAAATCCATAATTGACCGATACCTATAGAGACTGATCTGTGTTGTATATAATTTTTTGGGGTTCTCTTGGGGTGGACTAAGGATTAATTGACTACAATTACTAGAGATTACAATTTGTCGCTTGAATCTGCCATTCTCATTTCCCTGGAAGATTTAGATACTCTGCTTATTGATCTCGTATTTGGAAAACATTTATTAATAGACAACAAGAAGACGACGACGACGAGATTATGAATACGTTGAGATATTGACAAGATATATTGACAACATTATAATTTGTGTTTTTCCTTGATTTTTTTGGGTTTTGCTTTGTGTGATTCGTTTGTATTTAAAATTTAATTTAATTTAAATTTTAAATTAGCATACAATTATTGTAACGCTCTGTGTTCAGGGTAATTTACTGGGTATTTTGAAAAACTTTCCTTTTATAAACTATTCCTAGGGAGGAGCAAGTGTATGATGGTGTAATTGCATAAAAATGTGAAAAATTAAAATATTAAACGTAGTTTTAGAACTGAGAAGAAGAGTCATAAAATAACTAAAATAAATTTGTATGATTGCTAAACCTCCCTAAGATCTGGCCAAGTTCATATTACCTTCGATGGGAACCGAAGAACTTAAACTACTTCGAGTGTGTTTGTTTTTAATGACATTCTGGGTGTTGTGTGTGTGTGTTGGTGCGTTTTCTCAGTACTTAGACTATGACATAAGCTACAAGCCATTGTTGTTAGTTAATTGTTAAGATACATACTCACTACATGCTACGCAAACAAGGTCCTGCCTGACATGTGACATTCTCTAGCGAATTGGCATTACTCTTGGACAATCATCATCGAATCATCGTAACCGTAAATTTTAGGTGGCTTCAGGCGGTGGATATGTCGGGGGGCGTGGCAGGTTTTAAGGGGGTTTTTGAGGTTGGGGTTTAGTAGGGGTAGCAGAAAGCATTACGCTGACTTATAATCGGCATACTTTGGACCAGCCAAAATACTTTGTTCCTCGGGGGCTGAGCAGGTTTTGGGTTTTGGCAACAGCTAGCAGTCATTACACCTGCTTGGCCGCACTGGCATTTGCATTGGCATTATTGGTGGTGTTATTGGAGCCACCCTGGTTCTCTGGCTTTGAACGCACGGCGGTCTCGGGCAGGAAGAGCACCACAAAGCCGCCAAAGATGCTCCAGGCGGTCAGCAGGGTCATCAAAAGGTGGCCCTCGATCTTGTTCTGAAAGGTATGAATTCAGGGTTAAGGGGTTATTAAGTCTAAAGCTGAAAAACTCACCAGTAGCGATAGATAGGGGGTGAGGATCAGGGCCAAGCCGGCGGCCATGTTGCAGGCACCCACGCCCACATTGCGTATGGGCGTCGGGTAGAGTTCCGCCGTATAGACCGGCATTATGGTGTTGCCCGCACTGATCGTGAACTTGCCCATCATCAGGAATGTGATCTTCAGCCAGAGCAGATCCGCATGCCCCTCGGTGATCGCCGCACAGCAGCAGGCGACGCCGGCACAGATCAAAGTGGCGCAGAAGAGCCACTTCTTGCCCACCTTGGTGATGATGTACATGGCCACGGCGATGGCGGGTACTTCGACTAGGCCAGCTAGCGCCTGCGGAAAATATAAAAAAATATTTAAGAGGTGCTAAGGGGATGAGAAGGAAGAGGATGCCCAGGCAAGTGAACAAGATGTCAACTGTCGGCGGGGCGCATTAAATCAGAGCGGCATCAAAGGTGCGCCCGGCGTTGTCAAAATAAATTATGCAATAAATTAGCTGAAAAACCTCGCTGGCATGCGCATTGTCGAATGCTGGACAGTGCTGAGCATTTGGCTCGGAAAAGTCAGGGAAAACTGAAAAACTATTGCCTAAAATTCGAAAAAGTATGTCTGGATTTTTGATGAATTAACATTGAGACATTTTCTCGAGGAAAAAATAGCAAAATAAATATTTTGTGCATACTTCAGATATATTTAAAAATTTAAAAGAATTTTAGGGAACACCTTTTGTTCATAAATATTTTTAAAAATATTTTTAAAACTCAAGCCATGTCAAATTCCCATTTAAAATCTTCACGCCACTTAGTCCATTAGCTTTCTCGTTGGACAACAAAAGAAAACAAACATGGAGATCAGACAACATTAAGCGCCTTAGCGTTTTCAAACAATCAAATCCCGAACAAATGCCAAACATGTTTAGAAAACACAATATTCCAAGGCCCGTCAGCACTGTGCTCAACATTCTGCTGGCCAGCTGCCAGGTGGAGGGGCTAAGATGGCTGCGAGTGGCGCTGCGACCGCGACAGGATTTATCTACTATATATTATAATGGGGGGTGGGAGTGGGAGTGGGCCAGCAACATCATAATTCGATTGCAAACAAATTTCGGCATCAGCAGTCCAGCAGGCCAAAAACACTTGACATCGCACAGACAATCTTCAGTCATCGGCTGATGGAATTGCTGACAAATCCAATTAGGCGGCCACCGGCTTGGCCACTTGGCACTTGGCTAAATGCTTGATTGATCCTATATGTTTGACGAAATTTCGGCTGAAGTTTGCCTAAGTGAATTTAGCCTCTGCGCCCACGCTGCGTATACTTAATTCTGGGAACACACAACTCACCGAATTCAAGTAGACATTGCCGCCGAAGGAGCTCATGTTGAGTATGATGCCGTAGTAGACCAGATTAATGGTGAACCAGATGCAGAAGAAGCAGATGGAGATGCGTCGCAGGTAGCTGGAGCGGAACAGGTAGGTGACATCCTGCGAACTGCTCTCCTGCGTCGGCGGCGTCAGTTGATAGTCGGCGGGCAGCTGGCGACCATTGAACTTGGCCGCCGCCTCGATGATGCGACGCACCTCATCGATGCGACCCTTGACCAGCAGCCAACGCGGCGATTCGGGCACCACAAACCTAAAAAATAAGAGATCCCAGGAAAATATAGAAAAGAAATCAAACGAAATAAATCGTAGGAAACATGTGCCGCGGCAATTATGCCACTCTGTTTATAGTGCTTATAGTGGCGAAACGGAACGGAACACCCACGCATCGTATTCCTCTTATTTATTCACACCAGTCTGTGATCTATATACACACATGTGCTTTTTTCTGTGCAATATTTTATGCTGTTTGTTTACCTGCCACATCTATCAAAGACTCACCAGAGGAAGCACAAAAAGATCCCCGGAATTCCGATGCACAGCTGCAGGCGTTGGTAGTCCTGGGTCAAGTAGGCCAGACCCGATATGATCATGTAGGAGATTGGCAGTGGGAACAGGTTGTACATCCCGGCGATGGTCCTCCACTTGCCGTCCACATACTCGATGGCCAGGATCAGGCCGGAGTAGGTCACCGACACCGAAACCAGGCCGAGAAGAGCGCGAAGTGTGAGATAGAGCTCAAAGGAGCTGCAGATGTAGAGCCACAGGCCTAAAAGGGAGATATAAAGAATATTTTCATATGAGATTTACTGGTAATTGTTGGGAATTCATAGTAGTATAAAATACTAGAAATAAACTACATTCTATATATCAAAGGTAGATGATTTTCTTTTGGGAATATCTTTGTTGTAAACTTATATTTTAGGTTATTTATAAATTGTAAATAAGGAACTTTAGGATGATAATTAGCTTCCAAGTTAATTCCCACACTTTACGGAATTTCCTGAGTATTTCACATGCAATCAAAAGCCAGTCCGCACACACGTGTGCACCCTCGATATGCCAGTTCCTCATTAGTAATGTCCTTTCGAATGCAAATTTCAATTATACATTGTGAGAGATTTAATCAACAAGGACAACAAGGCCGGCAAGAGCCTGGCAGCCACAACTACTGAGGAAACCACCTGACAACCTGAAGCCACCCAACCCCACAACGCACAGCAAAAACCCGCAGAGAGCCACTCGATGTGCTCGTGTTGACCCCCTCGACATGGCCAAGTTCACAGTCACCACGAGAGGAGGACACCGTCAGGGCCAATGTCGGTGTGACTTCCGTATATATTAGTGGCCTGTATATACATATATAAGAGGGGTGGCACATGGATGGCCTTTAGACACTGACCGAATATGGTCTGCAGCACGGCCGATATGAAGAGCATTGTCTTGCGGCCGAACTTGTCCGATAAATAGCCGGAGATAATGCCACCTGTTGCCACGCCCAGCAGAAAGAACATCTCGGCCACGTTCTTCAGGTGCTCCTTTTCGCACACCAGATCCCATTGCGATGTCCAGGTGTTGCCCACATTGTCGTTCGTGTCGTACTCCCACTTCTCGCAGGCCACCAGCTTTCTATCGGCCTCTAAAGGTTTCTGAAAAGTTAGAAATAATATTAAGAATTTTAATGGATATATAAAAACCCCATCTCACCTTCCATTCTGATGGCAGCGCGGTCTCATTGTTCACCTGACTCCAGTCGATGCCCTCCCATCGCTGGCAGTTGTCCGTGGAACCGCTGACATTCCGCCAAACATCGACGGACATGTGCTGAAATTGCGCCGGTCGCTGGCACCAAAAGTCCTTGTTGGCCGCCTGGTAGACGGACGAGGATATGTGGAAGGTATTGGGCACCTGGAAGAGCGACAGCAGCACCGTCATCAGCAGCTGCCACTTGCCGTAGTGGCCCATCAGGTCGCCGATCACGTCTGTCTCGTCCTCATCGTCCGAAGGATCCAGCCCGCTGACCGCTGCCGCCGCTGCCGGCGACTGGGGCGTCGCTGCCTGCTGTTTGGGCGGGATGGTGGGACTGGTGGTGGGGGACGGTTTGCCGGAGTCGTGCATGATGCACAAAGGAACTGGAAGAGGCGAGAAGAAATAGGGTGAATGTGAGTCATCAAATGCAGAAAATAATCAAGATTGACAATATGTTGATAATATACAATAGGAGTAAAATTAAACATGGTTTACAATAAAATATGGCACCATGTTAATGCTATAAATATTATATTATAAATATTTTAAGCATTTTAAGTTTATGTAATTATTTAATTTATATTTCCGCTAGTCTTAAACTTTACTAATGTTTACAGGATATTTTCAATAGAACAAAGAGACTGCAATAATTATATAAATATTTAATCTATGAAAATCTCTACTTAATATTTGTATGAGTCATAAACTTTTATTAATGTAAAGAATAGTTAAAATTGCCTGGTAAAGTTGTATTTTTTGAGTTAAAAAATGCAAGCTTTTAAAAAAAAAATTAAACTAGTCTTCAAACAACTTAATATTGCTGCTTTGATTTGTTTGTTATTTAAATTAGATAACAAACTTATCTGACACACCAACTCCAATTCATTTTAATTCAGTTCTTCATCAACCGAAGATAAATAAATGCCGAGGATGCAGATTGAACAGTTTTGTCTGCGGAAAAAAGCATGCAAATAATTGACTTGGAAGATGCCAACGCAACGGATTCAGATCCTGCGGGCAGGGGAATTAATTTTATTGCCCGTGTCAGGAGCACACAAAGGAGCAATTAGTTAAGTGGTCAGTGACTGGCCATAAACCAACTCGGAGTCGGAGGCGAAAGCAGAAACTGAAGCTAAAGCCTCTCAGAAACAGTCAAGTCCGAATGCAGTCAATTCAAGCGGCTCTATTTCATTTATTAGGACTAACCCCCCGAAAGCACCCCGCTTTCCCAGCCAAGGATGCCGATGGGTCATTGGTCAACCTGCGTTCGATGGAATTCAATCACGTTGGAGGCGATTAACTACAGCAGCCGAAGAGGAGACCGGCAAAAGTTGCTGCTGAGCACCGAGAACCGAGAGCTCTACAAAGTAAAAGAATAATAGCCAAGATTTAATGTAATTGCGTCGGGGGGAGGGGAAGGAGTGGGTTGCTCCTGCCATGTTCGTGTCCTTTGCTCAGTTTGCTAGTTGAACTTTCCCCCCACTCTCATTCCCCTTCCCCTATTCCATTCGCATCCTTTCTCCGCTTTGCTCTGTTTGCGTTTTCTTTTGTGGCCACTGGCCAGCGGGGCTTTTGTAGCGCATTGGCTTTGTCTGGGATTTGCCCGGAATGGGTCCATATACAAGATATGGCCAAGTGGCCCAAGGTATCAATGCCCAAAAGTAGGCAGCCGACTGGCCAACTTTTCGACTTTAGTTAGCCGAAGTTAAATGTTTAATTCCATTCAGTTGATTTAACAGTGCGGTATTACTAGGCTAAATTAAGCAATTTACCACACGCCAAGTAGGGGTTTCAAAGGATCAGTACTTGTAGCGAAGAAAGTTTGGGGATTATTTAATAAGTTCAGAGGAAACGTGTAGGGCTATAAAACTTAACAACTGAAATGGTGAGGGATAAATAAGGGATAAATACTCCCTCTCAATTAAAAAGTTAAAGGAAATATGGTATACAAAAAGTAAAAAAAATATTGTCAGCCAATCAGTCAACCTATAAATTCTCGACATTAATAAAATTAATTATTTAAAGTATAATTTGACGATTTTTTTTTAATTTCCTAAAATATATTTTATTTAGATTTGAAAGGACATAAAATCTATCTATATTTACTGACTAAAGTTTAATTTAAGATAAATAAGCCTTTTAAATAAGATTATAATAATCAAAAGTTTTTAAACTCAACTTGTGTGTTTCAGTAAGGTAAACTATACTGCTGATACTTTTAATATCAAATACATCTATCCCATTCTATGTTCATGATTTGTCAACAGCATGGATATCCATATTCCTGTGTGTCTATGTCCCATGAATCAAGGACTCGCACATATCAATCAACGGAGCCAACATTTATGGCACAATTCCCGGGAGCCGTTGGTTAAATTTGCATATGCCCGGGGGGAGGCGTGTCCAAACCCCCGGAAGAGATATTCCATTTAGGAGGGGATTTAGCATATGTGGCCAGTGGGCAGGGCACCACACATCGCACCACTACCGCAGTAGCTGTGCCAGTGGTAGTGGCAGTAAAATTCACGCCATACGCCGCACGTGATAAGCAGTTGAGCGCACATTTTCACGCACTTGTAAACAGGAATAAGCGAAGCGTGTCCGCGAAAAGCCGCGGGCTGGAGAGAGAGAGACCCCAACCGCCCCCTAAAATCCTCTATCCTCTGTTTTCCACAGCAGGATAATTAATTATCAATTTTATAGGGCAGTTGGCTTAGCTTTTGGCCAACGGAGTTACTGGGCAACCAGCAGCTGCAGTTGCAACTGCCACTTGCCACTGGTGTCCGCCGAAGGTCGTCGTCGCTATGTCGTCGTGTGGGCACAACGGCTCAATTTCAATGCTATAAACTACGTCGTCGCCGTTTACCTTCAACTCGCATGCGGCGCACATGGCGTATGTGCAATATCGTGGCACGCTGAAAATAACGCTAATTGCATTCAGCAGCTGTTGTCGCCCTGGTCACACCCCAGATGCCCAGATGCCCCAGCCCGATCCCCTTTTTCTGTAACATTTGCTGGTCTGACAAATCGACAGGTTCCCGGTTGCGAGATTAAATTAATTCAATTTAATAGACTAATTGAAAGCTGTCGAAGATGGATTAGTTACCCATTTTGTCTCTGCAAGCGCTTTTATTGAAAATAATTGCTATATAATTAACAGATTTATATGGATTAAATATTTAATATTATTAGGAAATCACAATACAAATAACATGATAATAATATATTTAATATTATAAGCAGTCATTTATTATTATTACAAGGAAATTCTAATAAAAATAATACAATAAGTTATTAAAATCAAGTAAATATACACATTCTAATATTGATAAGCTAATAAATTTATTTAATTTTTAGTTATTGTTCACATTAATATTTAATTGTTTGCATTTACATTTACAAGCTATTCCCTCGATAGATGAATGTTCTACTCAATCAATTACCTACATTTCCAACCGACAGCTAGCCATAAAAAGCAGAACTGGTCACTGACGCAATAACCATTCGATCTACTTGGCGCTCTTGCCAGTTTTGTATGCATATCAGGGGCTCATTGTGCTGCCAAAGATAGTACCTTATAGACAGTTTCACACCCCATGCTAATCAAGTGGCAATGGCCCATGTCCAATTGGTAATTACGTTTACACTGCAGCCATAAATAACGAATTATAATGCCAGGCACGTTCATAAAAATGCATGCTAATACCGCCCATCCCCCTATGGACACATATCTGCTGTCTCCCAGTTTTCCAATTTCCCAGCAATTTCCCAGGGAGATGCTTTGGAGCTTTGGAGGCGGATGCGTCTGGGTACGATCTCTTGACACGCTCCACCAGCGCCAGGGCGCCTCAATTGAACATGATCCACACAAGCTTCTCTAATAATGATTTGTTTCAATTGAAAAGTCAATGCCAGAGCTCCGCTCTCTCCCACTGGCCATTAATAATTTGCTTAGCTTCCATTCGTGGTCAATTAAAAATATAAAACAAAAATAGCAACGAAAAAACGCTAACGCCGCTAAAGACAATTGACAAAGGGTGAAAGACAGTGCGAGGCTTTCTTGTTACTCATATTTGCATAAATATGCGAGAAGCTGCTCCCGCTGCTCGTAAAATATTAATGAATAACTAATTTAATTAACAAAGAGTGTGGGTAAGCGGAGTTTCCCTCGCATTTATGACACTTTGTTTTTCACACACTTAAGGGGAAATTTAAGCGGAATTTCTCTAGTTTATAACTAACTTGAAACCATAATAAAGTATGAAAATTTATCTAAGGAAATTCCATCATGATTTATGCATTTATTTTATTCATATCTGAACAATAAACAAACGTGTTAAAACATAAAATATATGTCTCACTGAGTTCCATTATTACTTCTTAAATTTAAGACAAGGATGACGTTTTCGCATGACAGATTTTAGTGGGAATTAACTCCTTCTTTGGCTATTAATTTAATGGTGCACATAAAGAAAATCTAAAGCAGTTCAGATTGTAGCTATTAAAAAAACTAAAAGTCGCATCGCATCCATAAAAATGCTCTTAAATTTAGCTATTAAAAGAACAATTAATTCCTTATTTAAGCCATTTTTACTTTGCATTTAGCCAACTTCTCAATATTACTGCTTCGCAATGCTGCGGCTGAATTTCTCTGCCTGTTTAAGCAGCACAATGACAAATCGCGGGGGGCTTCCCCAGACAATTACCACTAGCCGAGTGTAAATAATCAGAAATGGGAAGGAATCGCATCAGCGTCATAATCACAAAAGCCGAAATGTGCTAAATATTTTTAATACAAAGGCAAGCGTTTAGCTCTGGGGAGCGAAAAGAGATGGGCTGCAGAGGCAGACAAATTGCCTCTGTAATTAGCCGTCATGCATATAAAAGTGCATTCACTTTCATGCCATGATAGAAAAGAGAATTGAGAGTGCCGAGGGGTGGAATGGGGGTGGAATAGGAGGCTGGGTTGCTGGGCTGCCATGATGATAATGATGACGCCTCCATCTGCATTTTGTGCAAGCATGGCTCGGTGACGTTGCCAGCTAATTTGCACATTTATAGGATTTGATTTGTTTATTATGCATTCGCCTGCAGGGGAAACAGAAGATAGAAGGCGGCACGGCACACAGAGTGCTGCCAAGTGGGTAATAGTAATCTTCAGACACTTGCACGCAGCAACGAGCTGCGCTTCCGTTGCGCCGACAAGTGCCCTCAGTGCGGATGAGCGATGACGATGGCGGATAGTGGGGAGTGTATAGAGGATGGGAGTGTCGCAAAACCAAATCCAAATCCCGCCGGATGACGGCCCGTCATCGTATAGCATTGGCCAGCCTCACTTCATCACTTGTCAGACTAATTGCTGCCTGTATGACAGCCGCTTTCG